GTGTTAATCTTGGTGTGTTTTTTTTTTTAATCCTCACCCGAGGATATTTTCCCACTGATTTTTAGAGAGAGAGGGAAAGACAGAGAGAAATATTGATGTGAGAGAAACACATCGATTGGTGGCCTCCTGCACGAGCCCTGATCAGGGCCTGGACCAGGGAAGAGCCTGCAACCGAGGTAAATGCCCTTGACTAGAATTGAACCTGGGACCCTTCAGTCTGAGGCTGACACTCTATCCACTGAGCCAAACCGGCTAGGGCAAGTCAGGTTAATCTTTATTCTAGTTAAGTCCAGGCTTTCATAGCAGTTGGATACGAATGCTATTTTCAAAACTGCAGGGTGCTTGGAAAGTTAATTTCCTTAGTCCCTACTGTCAGTTCTGTTTTCTTGGATGAAGGCTCTGCTGGGCAGCTCTGTCTCACTATAAATAAAAGTTTTTGTCACAGTTGTCTTGAGCCGCAGAGGGTGTGACATTGAATTTTAAAATGAGTCGAGCCCATTACCGAGCACATTTAGGGTTATCAGTGTGTCTTTTCTCGGTAGTCTGAGTTTGAGATCTAATATTTCTGGGGAAGGTGGGTGAAGATGGCTCTCCTTCACTCAAAGTGGCCCTGTGCTGGACACTTTGGGTGCATATTTTCATTTGATTGGAGAGACCTATGTGTCCCAAACCCTATGCCCATGAGAGGAGATGAGAATTTTTTGATAAAAAGGCTTTATGGATAAAATAAGGTTTTCGTCTGAATTCTTTGATTCACAGATGTTTGTAGCCATTGATTAATCATTTACAACATAAATAGTGACCACCCTGCCGTTTTCTCATATATAAAACTAGAGGCCCGGTGTTCCTCAGCCTGGCCTGCGCCCTCTTGCAGTTTGGGAGCCCTTGGGGGATGTCCGGCTGATGGCTTAGGCCTGCTAAGCCGGCAGTCGGACACCTTAGCGCTGCCGCAGAGGTGGGAGAGGCTCCCACCTCCGCCGCTGCACTTGCCAGCCATCAGCCCAGCTTCTGGCTGAGCGGCGCTCCCCCTGTGGGAGTGCACTGACCACCAGGGGGCAGCTCCTGTGTTGAGTGTCTGCCCCCTGGTGGTCAGTGTGTGTCATAGCAACGGTTGTTCCGCCATTTGGTCGATTTGCATATTAGCCTTTTATTATATAGGATTCTTCCAGGAGCAGGGCGTATGTTTAAAAATTATTTTAAATTGCCAGATCTTTTGGTTAATATTATAGGACTCTAGTTCAGGGGTGGGCAAACTTTTTGACTCAAGGGCCAAAATGGGTTCTTAAACTGGACCGGAGGGCCGGAACAAGAGCATGGATGGAGTGTTTGTGTGAACTAATACATGTTAACACTGCTGCTGGTGAAGGAGCGGAGGGGAGAGCAAGAGAACCCTCCGCTCTTTCGGCTCCGTGGGCCAGATAGAACAGCCGAATGGGCCGGATCCGGCCCGCGGGCCGTAGTTTGCCCACGGCTGCTCTAGTTACATTTTTTTTTTGTTACTAGAAAACTTTAGAAACCTCTGTTTACAGCTAAATGTGTCTATCTGTATGTGAAAAAGTTTATGTGAAAAAATTTAAAACACTAAACACTACAGAGTATATTTTGAAGGTTTAAGATGCTGCTGGCTTGCCTTCCCAGTAGCTGTCTGTCATCACTGAGGCTGTGGTTACAGATGCCAGACCTACTAATTCTCCGAAGCAAAGGTCCAACACACCATTTTAGCCACAGGGCAGGTTGGAGGGCTAAGGAACAGAAGCCCTGACCTCGCTGATTACACGTTGACTCCAGTCACACATCCATGTGTCCCAGGGAAGAACAAATGTTTGGGTAGGAAAAAAAAGTATTCCAGAGAAAATCATGTGACCTTCTCTTTTTTAGGCAAGTGAAACAAGAGCCGTGGCCACCTGGCTTGTAGCAGTAAGCTGCTTATTTTAGTATAGGCTGCTCTGTGAAGAGCGAATCTCACCTTTTCATTTGTTTCTTGTTTTGTTTTTTTTAATAATGTATTTTTATTGATTTTTAGAGAGAGGAAGGGAGAGGTAGAGAGATAGAAACATCAAGGATGAGAGAGAACCACTGATCGGCTGCCTCCTGCATGCCCCCCACTGGGGATCGAGCCCACAACCCCGGGCATGTGCCCTGACCAGGAATCCAACCGGTGACCTTTTGGTTCCCGGGTTGATGCTCAACCACTGAGCCACACCAGCCAGGCTCATCTGTTTGTTTTAAATGAGGAAGTTGGACTGAATTTGAGGTCCACTGAGGCCCATGTTAAGGTCCCTTTCAGCTCAGACCCCACTTTCCCGGGATGGAAGTGCTCAGGGAAGTGCTTATTCTGTGCATCTTGTGTGTCAGATTCGCTTCATCACTCAAGTCTTAAGGGCAAAGCAGGCGAGAGCTGGATGGGGATTCCCAGCTGCTGAACAAAACAGGCTCATTTGCCTTCATCCTGAGGCCAAGGCAACCTGGCTTCACACTCTGTCTTTATCTATGGGTTGAGAAGTGAAAAATTTAAAAACAAGATTTTTTTTTTAGCCGACCTTGTTCCAGATAAACGTTTAGCTTTTGTTTTGTTAGTTTGTAGAGCATATCGGGGGAACAGAGGTGGACAGTCATCAGTATTTTTTTTTTTAAATTTCCCAAGTGAGTTTAATGTCCATCCAGGGATGAGAGCCACTGGTATAAAGTGGGAATGTTTCAAGCAAGCATCTATTAAATTTTGCCTACTAATGACCTACTATGCCTACTAGGAACATGTATTTCCTTTTTAAGCAAAAAAAAAAAAAAAAAAAAAAAAAGTCATCAAGGGAATAAAAAACGACACACCCCTTGAAAAAGTACCTTTCCAACAACCAGATGACCCCTAATTGCATTGGGGGTAGTACCATGGTGAATAGTCTTAAACAGCCCATTGCCCCTATTTCTGCTCAGCTGGGAAAGCATGGTCTCTGGGTAGTTCGACATTTCATTTGATGGTTGAGCCCATGAAGTTTCATGTCTCTTAGCCATGAGAGTAGTTGTCTTTAACCTCATCCCTCTACCATGCCTCTCCATCTGACAAGGTGTGCCTCACCAGTTAGAAAGTTACCACATAGCACCTGGCCAGTGTGGCTCAGTGGTTGAGCATTGGCCTATGAACCAGGAGATCACATTTCAATTCCCAGTCAGGGCACATGCCCGGATTTTGGATTCAATCCCCAGTGTGGGCATGCAGGACGCAGCTGATCGATGATTCTCTCTTGTCATTGATGTTTCTCTCTTTCCCTCTTCCTTCCTCTCTCTGAAATCAATAAAAACATGTTTTCTTTAAAAAGAGAGGAAAATGTCATTAAAGCATTTAAAAAACCCCAATATTGAAGCACCTGAAGATGTTTGTTTATCTGTCTCCATGAGTGAGAGGGAAAAGGGGTATCTGTCTTCAAGTCTGTGGTTGGGATTCAGTACCTGTTGTCATTCCCAGGCTCTCCTTGTCTCCCACAGATCCCTAGCAATTGGAACCAAAGCTGGTTATAAGCTGTTTTCGTTGAGTTCTGTGGAGCAACTGGACCAAGTCCATGGCAGCAGTAAGTGTGTGCGTGTGAGGTCTCAGGGACGCCAAATCCTCCCTTTGGACTTTAATCCGTGCTACTCCTGAGCTGTCTGCCTTTCTCTCCCTTACCCATTAAACTTGAGGCAGTATTTTTCAGATTAAATATAAATCAATGTCTTCGCTTGCTTTAAAACCAAAACCATAGCGAAGCACTTAGTGAGATGTAGCAGTAGCTTAGGTAACATTTTATATTAAGAAATCCCTTGTTTGGAACCATACTGTTGACAATTTTTCATATACATATATGCACCATCATCAGTTCTTATATTGTCATAGCAAAAGATCAGTTGGGATTTCCCCCCATTATGTTGGCACTGTAGAATATTGGTAATGTTTTCAGTCATGGAAGTATGTCCTTTGCTGATAAAGCAATACAACCCCATGTACATAGTCCATATTGAAGATGCTGGCGTACTTCTAGTAAACAGTAAAAAAAAAAATTCAGCTTAGAAATGTGACTCTCTTATATAGTGAAGAATATAATCTTTGGATTTCCTGGAAAGAAAGTGGTTTGGTAACTAATATATTGGGCTCCTAATTTATTTGTGAGATGTTATTTTTATTATGCCATTTTCATGGATAACTTGCTCTGTACCTGTCCTGGGTTGCTCCCTACAGGACTTGCCCAAGATCAGGAAAGGCATGCATAGGAAAAGAGTATTTTTGGGGGGCTCACTAACATACCTTCTTCCCGAGTACAGAGGTACTTCCCTGGTTATAACACTGACGTCCAGATGGGTTTCAACAGGAAAGGGATTCCAGAAATGGTCAGGGAGCATAGCGGATGGGGAGGGAGTACAGGTTTTTCTATGCCACTGCCCCCCATGGTGGTCCCCCTCGTAGCAACAGGGACAGGAACTCTGAAGGCAGAGGCTCCTGACAAAGCAGTCACTTCTTTGAAACCTCTGAATGAGGAAAGGGTAGCTGAGACGGCCCAGACCCCTCATTAGGCTTCACAGAGCAAACAGTGGCGCCCCAGGGCCCTGGAGGAGCTCTGGAAATTCTGACTTTGTGTCTGGTCACTAGCATCTTCTTTAGATATGTGAAAGGGCTTTGGAACTGTTCCATTTGGAATTGGCTAAAGCTTCCTGGGGTGGGGGTGGGGGGGCACTGATCATTGCAAATGCATTCTAATGGAGGGTGCCCAGTCAGCAGGACCTAAAGGACGCTGGCTGACTGGCCAAGGCCGGAACGCGGGTAACCTCGGCTGCTTTCCCTCCCAGATGAAATCCCGGATGTCTACATCGTGGAGCGCCTCTTCTCCAGCAGCCTGGTGGTGGTGGTCAGTCACACAAAGCCGCGGCAAATGAACGTCTACCACTTTAAGAAAGGCACGGAGATCTGCAATTACAGCTACTCCAGCAACATCTTGTCCATAAGGCTGAACCGACAGGTAAGTGGGGGGAAGATCCCTCCAGATTGCAAGGCTTCTGCTCGTTGGGACCGAGGAGAAAGATGGCTATCGTTCAGGAGGAATGCCCCTAGAACAAGCATCAGGTTCTACAGGGCATTTTCATCCTCAGGCCTTGATTTATGAGGCTCCTGTAGAGAGTCTGTTCCATGCGCTTGTCTCAGTGGCGGGTCCTCCCTGGTCCTCCTGCCTCTTGTTCTTTTTCCGACGTGGCCACCGGCGAGGTGAGCCCTCCCCTGGGTGCAGGCTGGCCAGACCCCTGGCTCTGGAACCCTGAGCCGTTGCAAGGACACCTTCAACACAGAGGGACGCCTCTCTGGTTTGGGTCCCCGAAGGTGGCATTCGCTGCAGACTGGCGGTCACGCCTCTCGGAGGAAGCCCCTGAGAACAGTGTGTGGTCCTCCTGGGTGGTTCTGAAGCCAGTCAGTAAAACTGCCCAGTGGCCAGGTCCTCGGGCTTCCACGTCTCTTCCGCCCAGCTAACCCTTGGAGATTTTTCTTGTAGTGTTTTCTTTGTTGAAGGAAGGAATATTCTTATCTCAACTATGCAGCACCTTCTCTTGAAAAATATCCGTTCTTGTTAAATAAGTGGCCGAGGTAGCAGAGTTTCCGTTGAATTATTACAGTCTGAGTCCTAGGAGCAGGGCAGGGGCTGTATCTGTTCTGTTCACTGCTGTGAGACCTGGTGGAAAAGATAGTGAATGCCCGGTAGGAAAATCTCCCACAATGTCTGTTTCCTGGCCTCCTTGTCCATAAGCAAACAGAGACATTCTCTGCATGAGCGCGCAGCTCTGTCCATTCAGGCAAACAATCCCAGGAGGGTGGAGGTCATGGCATTCGCCGGGGACAACGTTCTCTCCTGTCTTTGCACCTAAACCACGAAGTGCTGATTAACTTTTTTAAACAAATGAGACAAAGTGCTTTCTGAAGTTTATGGTAAGGAAGAGATTATTTCTTTGAGTTGATCAAATATTTTCACTGACTCTCCACTTAAGCCTGCATAAAAGCAGAGAACAGCCTGAGAAATAGGATACGGGGATTTTTTTTTTTTTTTTTTACGCAAAGAGGAGTCCGAGTAAAAAAGAAAATAAACCCAGGTTCTTAGCAAGAGAGAAAAAGGCAGTTTGAGAGTTTTCAGCTTGAAGGCTTTTAGTTTTCAGAATAATGCTTGGCTCAAGTGCTCGTTCTGAAGTCTGTTGGGAGCACGTTCAACGTTGTTGTTGAACTGTCTTGTTTTTTCCTTTGCACGTAGGAGTAGCCAGTGTGGGAGCATTAACGATCCTTTTTCGGTAACTGACGTCTCCGTAAGGTTGTGTAGGCAAATGTCCTGTTAAAATCAGAATTCTCGAATAGTATCTATGGCATGTCTTTGTATAACTTCTCTCTTACTTGCTCTCTGACATTTTCATTAGCGAATGGGACAAAGGAGGATTATTCAAGTGTCCGACCCAGTCTGTTGACCTTTAGATGTCACTCCACTCAGCGTAACACTCATGAACTCTAAGGCTCTCCGCCCCCACCACCAAAGGACATTAATGCACCTGGACCTACCTGGCTTATCATGGCCAAGCTAAAGTGAACCCAGGTCCAATATTTCTGCTCCTAAGAAGGTGCTTTGGAACAGGTCTGGGAAGCGTTTGGGGTTTGCTTTTCTTAAAACGTTCAGGTTTGGGCGCTAACAACTTCTGGTTTAGGCAACTCCTGCAGCTCCTCCCTGCCAGGTGGCGGCGGCAGCTCCCTCAGATAGAAAGGAAGAGTGTCTAGTAATTGTGATATTTTTCACATTTAGTAGATGTGATTCCCCCGGCACTGAGTTGAGGAGATGTGTTCAACAGAATACAGGCGGTTACCCAGATGCATTTCAATATGCGAGCGTGTACGGTTCTTTGCCACCTGTTCTCCACCTCCGTCTGGATGCCAAGGGCCCTAGAACAGATGCAGCATCTGCATCCAGGCTCGGACGCTGAGTCTAAGTCCGTGGTGCTCGAGAGCAGATGCTATAAATATTTTTAATTGTTAAAAGGGGTTATTAAATTATAAAGCCTAGAGAAGTTGACAAGAGTTGGAGTGACGGAATGAGCTGAAAACTGGCTGTTAAAGGAAGCCGGTTCCAGGCTCTGCCCGTCCCGGAAGCGTGCTGTCACTTGAACTGAGGGCAAAGCGCATCCTCTTGGCCTCTGCGTGTTCTCGGTCTGCTCCCCTCCCGCTTCATTCTTGTCTGCAGCCAACACGGGGGCGACCTGAACGTGGGCCATGTGGGCCACGGAGCAGACGGTGCTGTGAGCGCCGGTGGGAAGGGACGCAGACGGGACAGGCTAGCAGTAGGGGCCGTTCTGCAGGAGGCGTGTGCTGAGGACCCGTGTGCTGGGGATTGGGTGTGGAATACAAGAGGATATCAGAAGCCTCAGAACATCAGCATGCATAGAGGAAGACAGTGCCCACCCTGGTGAGTGCTGGCAAAGGCACAGGGACCAGGGCAATCGGAGGACACGTGCTCCACGGAGAAACACTCCTCTGTCCTCAGTTGGGAGACCCAGCCTCAGACCTGTGACCGCAGAGCCTGAGTTAAGATGAAGATGTTGACATTTTATTTTTCTGCTCCGTTCAAGTGTTAGTCTCCGCTTTTCTGAGCTTTGAGGAATCTTACTGGGCAAACAGTAAGGCGGGCTTTTCCCAGGAGGAGAGCCTCCTGCTTTTTTGTAGTGTTAGGTACCTTCCTTTCCACGTTTTGTTCTCTGGGATAAAGGGTCTTCTCCGTAAACAGTGGCTCTCAAACACAGGTGTACGTCAGAACCCCCTGGAGCACTGGCTGAACCACCTCCCGAACCAGAATCTCCCGGGAGAGCCCAGGCCTTGCCCCTTGGGTGCTCAGATCCTCATCCAAGTCTGAGAACCACTCGCCCTGAGGGCCACAAGTCAGGCGTGTGCAGAGGTAGGAGGTGGCTCAGAGTGAGGCCAGAGCCACCAGATGCGGAATTCTTCCCAGCAGCTCCTCACCATCACCTGCATCTGCTCACCTGTGCTGAGCTATGCATCCAGTTCCTTACACACCAGCACATTAACCCTGTGGCCTGTTTCCACTGGGGAGAGAGCACGGCTGTGGGGAAGAGGCTCCAAACCTGACGGGTCTTGTTGGAAGAGGAAGAGAAGGGTTTCACGGCTCTGGGGAGGGGGACCCCCAAGGAGTGGAGCTGAACATGGGAGGGGGACGGGGTGTTCCCATGCCGAGGCTGGAGGGCGTGCACAAAGGTAGGTCTGCGGGAGAGTTTAAAGAAGTTAAAATCTGACCATTCATTGGAGTGGGATAAACCAGAAGGTTGGGGAGCAAAGAAACCTACGTCTGTACAAGAGGGAAGAGAGCCTGTCTCCATATATGACAAACCCACAGCCAACATTATACTCAGTGGGCAAAAACTGCAAGCGTCCCCCTTAAGACTGGGAATAAGACAGGGATGTTTGCTTTCACCACTCTTATTCCACATAGTACTGGAAGTCCTAGCCACAGCAATCAGATAAGAAAAAGAAATAAAAGGCATCCAAATTGGAAAGGAAGAAGTAAAACTGTCATCATTTGCAGATGGAGTGATACTGTATATAGAGAACCCTAAATTTAGATCCTACCAAAAGACTAGTGGAACGGATAAATGACTTCAGTAAAGTCGCAGGATACAAAATAAATATTCAGAAATCAGTTGCATTTTTATATACCAATAATGAACTATCAGAAAGGGGAACTAAGAAAACAATCCTTTATAATTGCATCAAAAAATAAAACACTTAGGAATAAATTTAACCAAGGATGTAAAAGGCCTGTACTTGGGAAAGTATAAGACACTGAAGAAAAACAGTATGGAGTTTCCTCAAAAATTAAATTTTTTTAAAACAGGAACTGCTGTTTGACCCATGATCCCAATTCTAGGAATAAACCCTAAGAGACTCAAAACACCAATCAGAAAGAATGTATGTACTCCTATGTTCATGGCAGCACAATTCACAATAGCTAAGATCTGGAAATAGCGCAAGTGCCCATCAGGAGATGAGTGGATAAAAAAGCTGTGGTACATTTACACCATGGAACACTGTGCAGCAGTAAAAAAGAAGGATCTCTTACCCTTTGAGACAGCATGGAGGGACCTGGAGAGTATTATGTCAACTGAAATAAGCCAGTCAGGGAAACACAAGTATCACATGATCTCACTCATATGTAGAATCTAATGAACAAAATAAACTGATGAACAAAATAGATCCAGAGACATAGAAGCATGGAACAGACTGTGGAATCTCAGAGGAAAGGCGGAGGTGGGTGGGTGGGTGGGAAGAGATCAACCAAAGAACTTGTATGCATATATACATAACCCTTGGTCACAGACTATAGATTGGGGAAGGCCTAGGGCAGAGGATAGGGACGAGCTATAAGGGGTCAATGCGGGGGGAGGGCAGAGAAGACATATGTAATACTTTCAACAGTAAAGATTTAATTTAAAAAATAAGACACTGAAGAAAAAAAAGTTGAAGATATAAGTGGAAGCATATACCATGTTCATAGATAGAAAGAATATCGTTAAAATGTCAATACCACCCAAAGCAATCTATAGATTCAATGTCATTCCTTTCAAGATACCAATGGCATATTTCACAGAACTAGACAAATATCCCCAAAATTTATATAGAACCCCAAAAGATCCCAAACAGCCACAGCAATCTTGATAAAGAAGAACAAAGTTTGAGGAATCACTCTACCTGATATCAAACTATATACATCAAGGCCATGGTAATCAAAACATCATGGTACTGGCACAAAAACAGACATATAGGTCAATGGAAGAGAGTAGAGCCCAGAAATAAATCCATGCCTTTAAGGACAATTAATGTTTGACAAAGGAGACAAAAACATACAGTGGGGTAAAGATAGTCTATTCAATAAATGGTGCTGGGAAAATTGGACAGTTAAGTGCATGACCTTCTTACACCATACACAAGAATAAACTCAAAATAGGTTAAAGACTCAAATGTTAGACTCGAAACCCTAAAACTCCTAGGAGAAAACATAGGCAGTGAAATCTCAGACATTTGTCGTAGCAATATTTTTCCTGATATATTACCTTGGACAAAGGAAACAAAATAAAAAAATAAACAAATAGGACTACACCAGACTAAAAAGCTTGGTGTATACATGTGTGTGCATGTGCATGTGTGCATACATAAACATCATCTTCAAATCCATCACCCAGAGTTTTCCTCGGTTAGACTTGGGATCAAGTTAGGACTTAAGGAAAGGTGAGTGGTTTCGATTGGCTCGGTCCCCTTTCGATGCAGTGACGCGTCTGTGTGGTTACAGAGGCTGCTGGTGTGCCTGGAGGAATCCATTTACATCCACAACATCAAAGACATGAAGCTGCTGAAGACCATCCTGGATGTTCCTGCAAACCCAACAGGTGAGCTCCCGAACGAGACAGGTGCCCCCTCCTCTCGTGTCCAGGTACCCCTTTCTCTATCTTGAGAACCTGAAGCAGTTGTTTTGCTTTATAAGTCTTCAAGTCTTACCCTGAGGCTGTGTTTTAATGGGGGCAGGCTCAAGTACATCAGGCTATGCGCCCTGCAAGAGGCTGTGTGGCCCTCACGGCCGCCCACCCCCCGAAACTCCTTTCATCTGGGCCCGTTCTCAGCAAATGTGTCAGGGCCTTTGAGGTAGACGCGTGGGAGAGTCCATGCATCTGGTACGGAGAGGTGTTTACCCCTAATTATTTGCTGTGGTTGCTCAGCACAGAGTAGGCGTAATAATTACGAGCAGGTTTTGATGTGGTGTGTCTGCGTGACTAGGAGAGAGACAAGCCGAACCGCAAAGAATATGTTCTGTTATGTTACAGAGGAATCTCCACATTGCACTTCCCACACTTCTCAGGATGGGACGCTGTTGAGTAAGTTTCCTAGTTTAAGCTTATGAAGTGCAATGTTCTAGCATTTCCTTCTGAAAGGCCAGGGACAGGTTGAACAACCACAGTGTGTCTTTTTTTATATATATTTTTATTAATTTCAGAGAGGAAGAAAGAGGGAGCAAGAGATAGAAACATCCATGATGAGGGATAATCATTGTTGGGCTGCCTCCTGCACACCCCACACTGAGAATTGAGCCCGCAACCCAGGCATGTGCCCTGAGTGGGAATCAAACCCTCTAGGTTCATAGGTTGACGCTCAACCACTGAGCCACGCTGGCCAGGCCACAGTGTGTCTTATAACACCTTTGCCATCTTTTGGAGAGAATGTCCAGGAGTTTTTCAAATCCTGAAATTTATACTTATCCTCTCAACAACCACTTTAATAAAATGGAGATGATAATGATCGCCCCCCCAGAATTACTCGGAGGATTCACTGGGGGCAGGGAGTGAAAGCCACGGCACGTCTGCCCCCGCATCACATGCCGCCCACTAGGCTCACTCACTCATTGAGCGCCAGCCTGGGGGGCACCCAGGCATCACATGACATGACTGCTCCCCAATCCAGAACCATCGGCTGCCTCTGGACCTTCAGAACCACGACCGTAAAATCCTGAGGCCAGTGGCCTCCTCCATTTGTTCATTCTCTAATTGGTTTTCTGAACAACACTAAAGATGGAGACGCTGGCTCTGATCTTTATAAACCCTTCGTGAGTCAAGGCAGACAGAACTGTGTCTCATGGCTCGAGCACACATTCCGCACGCATGCTGCCCGTGGCTCCAGCACACATTCTACATGCATGCTGCCCACGTGAACCACGAATCAGTGGCACACACCGAGTCCTCCCACTGCTCTGCGCTCAGCATCTGTGTGGCTGTAATTTCCTCCCTCTTCGTCTGTGTTTGTGTCATGCCCGCTCCTGTTGTGTCAGAGATTGCAGGCTGCTTCCTCTAAAGAGTTAGGCCAGATGGGGCTCAAAGCTAATTTCCTGCGAGCACAGCAGTCTGTGTGCCGAGCTGTGGAGGGTAGAAATCTCTGGACAGGTCTGCGAGCCACGGACTCGGCTGTGCTGCGGACCTCACAACCATGTATGGGGTACCGAGGGGGCAGTCTACTCCCCCGACAGTGTGTCTAACAGAACGAAGCCGTGGGTATCGTCCAGTGAGCCCTCTCTCTGGAAGAGGTGCTGCAGGCAGGGAGCTGGCTCTCATTTGCAAGCACAGATTCCTTTCCAAGTCTGAAAACAGGAAGGCATGTTCTGGGCCACAAGTCAGCCCAGAGGGAACTGCATGTCATAAATCACCGTCAACTTGCTTGAAGTTTGACATGTCATACTGTGAATCCCGGGACGCCGATGGCTTAGAATCACAGGACTTCCCTGTCATCCAGCGGATGATGCCATCGGCTCTTCAATTGATAGCAGGCCCTTCTCTTCCAGCTGTGGAGGGATGACAGCCACATCAGCTGCGGTGAAATCATAGTTGACAGTGACTTGTGAAAATGTGTGTCAAGTGTCAAACATCCAAACCTCGCTCCTATGAAGGAAATGTGCTCAAATGTTGAGAACAGTGAAAAACCTCTGGGTTTTAGAATGGTGGCTGATTCCCCCTTTCTTCATATTTTCTGGGCTCTGCAAATTGTTGATCACTTTTCTGTTATAAAATAATATCAAAGGAAAGGATCGTTTCCTTCCTTAAAAGGCTTTGTGCGGCACCTGTGACAGACGCAGAAGACTTAGTGCTTTCCTTGGGGGCTTTGCAGGAAATAAAGATACATTCTCACAGCTGGTTGGACCCCAGGCCATCGAAGGAACACATGCAAAGCATTTGTGGGGCCTTGGTTTCGTGTGCGAGGGTCGGCGTGCAGGACCCTTTGGCTACAGGCAGATGGGTCGGCAGAGATGCAAGTCCAGAGCCCAGCTGTCAAACACGTGGGCATGTGCCAGCATGCACCTGCCCTAGCCGTTCCCCTCCGCCCCTTTCTTGTTATAATCTAGGATCATCTCATTCTCCTCCAGGCAACACAGGAAGTGCCCTGTTAGCTGCACACGTTGAAGCCTTTCTTCCTTTCTGAGATACTCACATTTGAACATAGAACTCTGAAGGCACCTGGAAGAAGGGCTTATTCAAAAAGGCAGGAAGTAACAAGTGTGCTGAGGATGCGGAGGAAAGGGAGCCCTGTGCCCTGTTGTTGAGAATGTCAGTGGTACAGCCGCTTTGAAAAGGAGTAGGGAGCTTCCTCAGCCAGCTGAAAGGAGGTAGAACTACCATGCGATCCAGCTGTCCCACTGCTGGGAATACAGCCTGAGCAAGTGAAATCGCCTCCCACAGAGACAGCTGCACCCCCCGTGTTCATTGCAGCGTTGTTCCCAATAGTCAAGATCTGGAAACAACCTAAGTGTCCAATGGCGGATGAACTGATAAAGAAAATGTGGTGTGTATGTACAACGGAATCTATTCAGCCATAAAAAGGATGAAATCTTACTATTGTAACAACATGGATGGGCCGTGAGGGTAGTATGCCGAGTGAAAGATGTCAGGCGGACAAGGACAAATATCGCAAAAACCGTAGGATCTCTTATATGTGGAATTTAAAAAAATGACTTCATAGATACAAAGAACAGATCAGTGGTTGCCGGAGGAGGTAAGTGAGGGGTGGGGACCAAAATGGGTGAAGGGGGTCAACAGGTCCAAACTTCCAGTTATAAAATATGTCCTGGGACTATGCAGCATGGTGACCACAGTGAATAATACCGTATTGCATATTTGAAAGTTGCTAAGAGATTAGATCTAAAAAGTTCTGCTAGCAAGAAAAAAATTGTAACTGTATGTTGACAGATAGTAACTAGACTTGTGATTATTTTGCAATATATACAAATACTGAATCATTATTTTGGCAGACCTGGGCTGGATCTTGAACTCACGTCCTCCATCTGTCTCTGCCAGATAGATATTCTTAAAACACTGCCTGTTTTTTTCCCTAACAACTTATTGCGATATAATTGGCATGCCATATGATTCACCCATTTACAGTACACAATTCAATAGCTTTCAGTATATTCAAAGAGCTGTATGACCACCAGGGCAATTGATTTTAGAGCATTTTATCCTCTCCCTGAAAAAGAACAGAACATACCTCTTAGCCATCAGCCCCCATACCTCCAGGCCTAGGCAACCCTAATGTAGTTTCTGTCTCTAGATTTATCTCTTCTGGACATTTCATAGTAGTGGAATGATACAATATGTGGTCTTTTGTGACAGGCTTCTTTCACTTAGCATAATATTTTCAATGTTCATCCATATTGGAGAATACATACACACACACACATATAAATATATATATTTTCATTTAATTTCTCTTTATTAATTAACTAGAGGCCCGGTGCACAGATTCATGCATCGGTGGGGTCCCTCGGCCTGGCCTGCGCCCTCTCGCAATCCGGGACCCCTTGGGAGATGTTGGATAGCCAGTTTCGGCCTGATCCCTGCAGGCCCGATCCAGACAGGAGGGAGCTCAATCCTGTGTGTTGAGCGTCTGTCCCCGGGTGGTCAGTGTGCATCATAGCGACCGGTCGACCGGTCGCTTAGGCTTTCACATACATAGATAATACTCCATTGTAAAAATATACCACATTTCATCCACTCAGCAGTTGATAAGACACTTGGGCTGCTTCTCCTTTTTGACTGTTATGAAGAATGTTGCCGTGAACATTTATATACAAGATTCTTGGTGGCTCTGTGTTTTCGTTTCTCCTGGGGACATGTCCAGGAGCGGGGTTTCGGTTAGATGGTAACTCGGTGTTTCGTCTTTTGAGGAACAGCCTGGCTGTCTCCCCAGCACTGGCCCGCGTGACCTTCCCAGCGGCAGTGTGAGGGTTCCAATTAGCTGTCTTTTTATAATAGCCGTCCTGGTGGGTGTGAAGTGGTGTCTCGTTCTGGTTCTGATTAACTCTGCTTTTTTTAAGCACATGTACTCAGAAACCTTCAGAACGTACTGGACACATTTATACGATCTGAACTCTGCAATGGTACTCAAGTCCCTCTAGGGTTGCACTGTCCGATCTTCACCTCCTTTCCTCTCACCACCCCTCTGGGAACCCACATGCAAACCAACCTGGTGTCCTGGTCTTCCCTCCCCCGTTTCACAAGACCAGAGTTCCTTCTGCTGGGCAGGCTGATGTTGAAATTGCATTTTGGATTGCAAAGAACCCAGATGAGATGGGAAATTGGGTTCCCAGAGCAAAACTTGCAAGGTCCGAGTGGTCCCTTGTCAGGCCTGGGCCAAGCGTGAAAGGTCAGGAGGCTGCAGGGAGCCAGAGCAGGCAGGTCATGTCTGCCACACCGTTCCTCCCCTCACCAGGAGGTGGCGGTGTAGGCGCCGTTTTCAGAGCCCTTTGCAGGTAAGTGCTCTCTGGACACGGGCTGTTTCATCTGTTTGTTCTCTGCCAGGTCTGTGTGCCCTCTCTATCAACCATTCCAACTCTTACGTGGCTTATCCTGGAAGCCTGACCACAGGCGAGATTGTGCTTTATGACGGACACTCCCTGGTAAGTTAACAGGGACTGGGCTGACCCCGCCCACCTGCGTGGCTCTGCGGTCAGTGGCAGGTGATGAGCGGGCTCTGTCGCAGTGGGGCGAGGTGCAGAGGCTGAAGCAACAGTGGGGGAGTTTGTTCTGGCCACAGCGCTTGGGTGTGGAGAAAGCAGTGATATTTGCCCTTGAGCCATCAGTCAGCATAGCCAGGAGGCAGCGTGCCAGGCCCAGGCAGACAGCTGCAGCGCCAGGGAATCCACCTGCCAGCTGGGGGCCCGCTGTGGGCTTGGCGGTGCCATGCTGCACACTTCCTGTCCTCCGCTTGCCGCGCTTCACAGAGCGGGGCAGCGTTGCTGGGGAAGCCCCCTAAAGATGCACTGGGGAGGGCCGCGACTGCGCCATCACCCCACACCGGGCACCGTTGGCTGTCCATCTTCCCGAGGGCAGGACAAGGGATAGAGACGAGTGGCCCTTGAGGCAGAGCCTGGATACACTAGAGCACATGGACAGCTGCCATGTGAAAGGTCTGCTGGAAAGAGAGACGGGCGACTGGCAAGTGAGGGAGGGTGTCTCAGAGGGAAAGAGGAAGCAGGGAGGGGCAATCCATCGTCCCTCTTTCCCGGCATCGATACCCGTTGTGCCTTTTCACCAACAGAAAACAGTCTGCACGATTGCAGCCCACGAGGGGACGCTGGCCGCCATCACCTTCAACGCCTCGGGCTCCAAGCTGGCGAGCGCTTCTGAGAAAGTGAGTGCGCTCAGCGTCTTTACCGGCTCTCCTCCTGGGTGGTGAGTGATGACACGTGTCTGGTGACACCAGGACTGACGGGCCTCGGGGCCCGCCCAGAATTCACTTCAGAAGCAGCCTATCAGGCCTGGTGTGGCATACTGATGCCTCTGTTAACTCACTAGTGCAGAGGCCTGCGCTTTGCAAGATGCAAGATACTTTGCACCAAAACTTGCTGTCTTACTGAGAAGCGGGTGTGCCCATCACAGATACAGACAGAGGCTGCCTCTCATTAATGTGGTGTAAACGAAATGCTTTGCTAGTTAGCAGATTGAGCTCTTCTGACGGGAATAATCAGGGAGTGTGAGCAAGTTGAATTTTCAAATGCCACGAAGAATAGGTGTGTTGTCGTGACCGGCAGAGACTGACCATTCCAGGAAGCCAGAGCCCTTTGAGTGAACACACGCCGAGCCCTGGGCTGGGGTGGGAGGGAAAAGGGAGACAGACGCCCTGAGAATTGCTTCTCTGGCACATAATGCAAACAGACAGGCCTCCCCGCCCAGCACTCTGTGCTTCCTCTCCGGGGACAGATGTTCAGCGCCAATAAAAACACATCTTCTAAAGAGACGTGTCTTTGCGAAGCCATGAACGGTATGAAACGTCCACCCGCTTTCTTTTCCAGGGCACGGTCATCCGGGTGTTCTCCGTACCTGAAGGGCAAAAGCTCTATGAGTTTCGGAGAGGAATGAAAAGGTGTGTGTTCACTGCGAAACCCACTTTAAAGTGCCCACAGAGTTCTGCAGGGGACGGCTGGCAGCCATCCGGGGAGAGGCGGGCGGGGCAGACCTGTGCCCGCCTCTCTGCGCCCCAGACGGGGCAGAACTGTGCTCTCTCAGGTAACTGACCTAGCGGCCTACTCACTGCTTAGTACACCTGAGAGTGAAGATGCTGTTTTAGCACAGGGGTTCAGCCCCAGGAGTCCTCGGTGGGTGTCGCTGGTGGCCAGCAAAAGAGAAACGAGAGAGCAAGGGAGTCACAATCCAAAAGCAATTTCTTAAAAAAAAATACACACACACACACACACACACACACACACACACACCACACATATATTCTTTTCTTTTTAATATATTTTATTGATTTTTTACAGAGAGGAAGGGAGAGGGATAGAGTTAGAAACATCGGTGAGAGAGAAACATTGATCAGCTGCCTCCTGCACACCCCCTACTGGCGATGTGCCCGCAACCAAGGTACATGCCCTTGACCGGAATTGAACCTGGGACCCTTGAGTCCGCAGGTTGACGCTCTATCCACTGAGCCAAACTGGTTAGGGCCAAAAGCAATTTCTGATCCCCTTCTGTGGACATAGGAAGGTGTGACGGTTTGGGGTCCCGCTGGCTGTAGGGCTTGCCAGTCGGTGCAGAGAGCAGCTGGAAAACCTCTGCGGTGACCGAAAGGAGCAGCCCCTGTTCCTTCCTGCCTGAGACCGTGACCCTCTAGGAACCTTTCCAACATCAATTTCTAACGAATGCCTGACGCCGACGAGATGTTAGAACGCCCAGACTCGGGGGACACATGGTTCTCTTACAAAGCTGATTTTTCCTGGCTCATCGGTCCCCACGCTGCTCTGGGTTCTAGGTATGTGACCATCAGCTCCCTGGCCTTCAGTATGGACTCACAGTTCCTCTGCGCCTCCAGCAACACCGAGACCGTGCACATCTTCAAGCTGGAGCACCTGGCCAGCAGGTAAGCTCGGCGCCAGGCGTCACACACTCATTGGGCGGAAGGATGGGGCCCCGAGTTCCCTGTGTTGGCGGCCATGGACAGCACATGCGATTCCCTCTCTCTCTGAAAGCCACAACCTTGACCTCATTGTCATGTCCTCTCAGAGTGCCGAGGGTGTGCGAGCCAAGGCTCGGTGTGTGATGCATGGAGGCAACGTCCAGGGGCCCTCCAGCGGGGGCAGTCGTTTAATCTTTCTGGACTGGGGTGCAGATGCATGGTCTACACACCTGAGGCCTGTTGTAAGGATTAAACGAGCTCCTTGACCTCAGGGGTGGGGAACGTCCGGCCCGTGGGTCGTGTAAGGCCCCGCACCCGAAATCATTTGGCCTGGCCCTGCCCAGGCAGTAGGGCTGAGTTACTAGTGATTGAATGTTTGACCAGATAGAGCAGGAGAATATTTTAAGTTGCTCTAAATCTAGTAATACAGTCCTTGCCATTACCCACCCCGGAGTGCGAGCCCAGCACTGTCAGTGCCCATGTGTGCGATGGCAGGTGTGGGTGAGGTCGGCAGTAGAGAGCATGTGTTAGATTGCAGCCGGGGCCGTGTGTATTCATGCCCTATGATCGCTATAACGAAGTACCACAAACATGAAACGGCCAGCGGGCGTACCTCACGGTTCTGTAGGTCGGTCATTGAGGCTGGGGCTCTGTCGAGGTCTCAGGAGGCAGACATCCCAGTGGCGGCCGGCCGCGTTCGCACCTGGAGTTGAAAGTCCTCCCGGACTCATCCGTGTTGCTTCCTTCTCGGGCTTTGGCTTTCCCCGGCTCCCCTCTGCTTGCCTTCCCTGCCAGCACTCGAGAAAGCTCTGTGCTTTAAGGGCACACGTGATTCGATTGAGCCCAGCTGGGTGATCTCCCTCCCTGCAGCCAGCTGGGCCCTCTGACCGTCACTGCTCTCAGCACCGTCAGGTGCAGGGGCCGGGGGCCAGGGGCAGAGTCTCGGGGCCGCTGCTAGACTCCTGCCTGCCCTCGCGTGAGCGTGAATTCACAGGGCTAAGTGCCACGTGTGTGCCCGTGTCCTCTCCTGCGGACGTTTACACTCAAAAGCACCACAGCTGTGAGGAGTTCTCCCACCCAGCCACTGTGCGTGGCAGTGTAACCTTGCCCAGCCCGCCTCCCAAGGTCAAGATCCCACTCCAGTAGCTGGGTAGGTGGCTCGCACCCCCCTCGGGGGACGTGGGACACCTTGGGTCTCCTGACACTTCTTTTAACTGTCATGAAGGGAAATTGAAACACAAAGGGTTAGCATCAGCTCAGTCCCACTCAGAAAGCAGGTGATGGCATCAGCGGTAATGGCACCGGCCGTAGCCACTCCAGGACCAGAGAGGAGAGAGAGGCAGAGAGTCCCTCCTCCGCTCAGTTCCCACTTCTCCAGTTTGCACCACAGGGATAATCACGTCACCTCGCTGGGACAGCTGAGCAGGGGAAGTATGCACAGGGCCTAGCACAGCGCCTGGCACACAGCACAACTATTTCATTAGATGGCGTCTCTGAGGCTGGTGTGACTGAGGCGGCTCTGGAGTGGTGGCCTCTGGGAATAAAGGTACCTGAGGAGGGAGCACCATGTCTCCAGGAGCATATGCAGGAGACCAGTCCATTGAGAAGACAGAGGATGAACTGGTCAGAGAGACTAGGAGGGGACCGCATAGAAGAGTCACAGATTGCACCCAGAGGGGCATTTCCATTTAGAGAGCACCTCACACATTCCTCCCGCGGTCCCACCGTCTCCCTGCAAGGCGGGCGGGAGTTGTTTCATTGGCACCTGATCGTAACTGCTCGTGCTGTCTTATCGTCATTTCCCTGGGCTGTGTCTCCACCGTGAATGCAGGACCTGGACACGGCAGCTCTTGGTAAATCCCAACCCTGAGCGCAGGGCTCCAGGGAGAGCGTGGAGCCGGGATGACAGCAGTACGCCTGGCAGGGCCGGCGCTTTCAGATGAGAACAGGGGGTCCGCCAGCCGGGAACAGAGTGAGAAATAGACCCCAGAGCCGTGGTGCGTGTTTCCCGCCTGGATCTGGTCCCCAGACAAGCACCTCGGAGCAGGCGTGGCCACCCTGGTCCCTGCTGCTCCCTGTGCGGAGCCGGAGCCAAGACAGGTGCCTGTGAGCCATCCACACTCACCGGCCTCAGCAGCAGAGCAGTCCAGTCACCCCTCTGGCGACTGCAGGGGGTGCACCAGGTCCCTCCGAATGGTCTGCACCCCAGTGAAGCTCCGGGCACTGGGCGCTCCGGGCTGTAATCAAACACCACCCAACCGTCTGGCCCAGAGGTTTGCTTCCCACTCATCTGGCCCCGAGGCCGCACACAGAGCTTGCAGGGCAGGCTTGAGCCTGTTTACAAAGTCCAGAGAGCGATCCCATCTCCCCTCACCCCTTTCAGGAACCTAGAAATCAGACGAATCACCAGATGCAACGTTTTTAATGTAGGAAAGTGTAACACTGGGAACCTCTTAAGAGCTTTGTAATGGCCCTTCTGAGGGACAGTGGGTGCTTGCTGCCCTTTCGGCATGGCCAGGACACTGTGTGCCGGGCTGTGCTGGGTGGGCAGGACATCACGCCGAGGCGGTTTCCTCCTCCCGCGGCGAGGGCGAGGGTGAGGGCCGCTCCCCGCGCGTGGGGGTGGGTCGTCGCATGGATGCCGGTGCCTGCAGCTCCGGCTCATCGCGCCCGTGCCTGTGTGTTGCTCCCCCAGCCGACCCGAGGAGCCTTCGACCTGGAGCGGCTACATGGGAAAGATGTTCATGGCAGCTTCCACCTACCTCCCCGCCCAGGTGTCAGACATGATGAACCAGGACAGGGCCTTCGCCACCGGGCGTCTGACTTTCTCCGGACAGAAGAACATCTGCACCCTCTCCACGTACGTAGGGCACACCCACCCTCAACGCCGCTACACAGTCATGTCCCCAAACACACACGCACAGGAAAAAAAAGAAAATAAAAAAGAAAAGAGAAGAAGGCCAGGAGGAAGGGTGAGCTAAATCAAACCCTGCAGCTTCGCGTCAGCTGCCTGGTTATAACACGCGTTCTCGGGGGGCAGCTGGATGCTGGCGAGGGAATTTATGGCGACACTGTCCCGAAAACAGTGTCTGTGTTTACGTAATTATGTAAAAAGGCCTAGACACCTACGGGGTTGACAGGTGTTTTCCCTAAGAAGTTTAAAGGCGTTAAACATTTTAAAAATTCCATAACACGAGCCAGCAAAGAGGCAAGCCAACTTTCCACTGTTCTTTCTGTCACTGTTAAAGGTAGAGGCGCCATCCCGTTCAGGTGAGCTCATGTTTTGTTTGTTTGTTTTCGCAACAGCTCCTCCTGGAGTAATTGTGTGGACACACGTCATTTTCTCTCTCCCACACAATTATGGTCAAAGACAAGAATTAACCCTCAGGGTAGATCACTAGGTCAGAATGCAAAGAAAACAGCCAGATACCCAGAACCCGGGCCCAGTGGGCTAAGGGTTTGTTGGTGGCAGAAGTCGGGGGCGGTCAGGGGGAGCGAGGCCTGGTCGTCGGAGGCCGGCCTGTGACCCACCTTTGTTGTAACCATGCGTTTCGCTTGGCTCTTAGGATCCAGAAACTGCCGAGGCTGTTGGTCGCATCCTCCGACGGACACCTTTACATCTACAACCTGGACCCTCAGGACGGAGGAGAGTGTGTCTTGATCAAGACTCACAGGTGGGGCTGCTAGTTTTTAGCCGGTTGTGTGGTCACCGCTGGGCCAGGAACAATGAGGAGCTTGATCTTCGGTACTCTCGCTTTCCTTTCTCCCTCACCGGCAATCCCGGCGCACACCTCTAGGGGGCGCCTGCTCCCAGTAGGGCTCAGTGTCAGGCCGAGTGTCAAGCTCACCATGCTGTGTGCTTCTGGGAAAGTGAATGACACCCACCGTCTCCCTCCTTGTGCGTGATGGGGGCTCAAAAATATTTCCCGATCAGAACTGGAAAGTTCTCGTGACTTCCACACCCCAGCACAGGATGGCCCGCTCCTGCTGTGGACAGGACACTGAGCTGCCCATGACCCTCCCCCCGGAGCACCCTTTGCGAGCATGTCTTCGAGTCCTTGCCTGAGTGACCCTAGTGACCCGGGCAAGGCCGAGCGCCAGTCCTCCCTTATTAAACACTAAAAAGGAAGGGGTCATTGTGAGTCGCATGGTTGACCCTGGCCATCGAGGTCCCTTCCGTGTCCGCACTGACCCAGCAGCAGGGCCCTGAGGGGCTGGAACTAGTGGCTGGGCATGAGCTTCCTGGTGCTTCTCTCGTGGGCTCCTGGGTGCGTGACGATCGCACTTCTCCCTCTTAACTGCTGCCATTAGGTTGCTTGGCTCAGGAACCACGGAAGAGAATAAAGAAAATGACCTCAGACCTTCATTACCTCAGTCCTATGCAGCAACAGTAGCCAGACCAAGCGCATCTTCCGCCTCCACGGTGCCAGGTGAGCGGCTGGTCGTGGGGACATGCCTAGCAGGCCCCCCCCCCCCTTCACTGTTACCTGCGGAGGGAGGCTCTCCCCAACCATACAGAGGCCATGGAGGAGCCTCGACAGGCAGCTCCCTGAACCTGGCAGGCCGGGCACTGGCTCGTTTCCCTAACAAGTTAACCCTTGGCCTCTCAGAGTTGGCAAACCACTGGGAAGTTTTAGGCGCCCGGGTAGGAGGTGGTGAGAGGGTGAGAGGAGCCTGCCCGCCTCTCGGGGCTCCGAGACCATCCGTGGTGGGGATTCTGACTCCCCACCATGGGTGGCTGCCTCCCTGGTCCCCGGGCCCCCCGTTTTCTGAGGTCCTGCCCTGGGTCGTGGCGCAAGAGGAGACCCCGTGGCTTCTCTCACGCCTCCGTCTTGGTTTCCAGGTTACTCTGAGGACGGCGGGGCGCTCCGCGGAGAGGTTATTCCCGAACACGAGTTTGCCACGGGACCAGTGTGTCTTGATGATGAGAATGAATTCCCCCCTGTGAGCATTAGGAATCCTTAAGAGAGCGGCTCAGTCTGTGTGCTTCGAGGGAACCTCTGCCTGGGGCAGGAGGCGCAGGCCCTTTCCCCATCGGCTAGTGTAGAGCTAACCCTCTAATACCCAGAGGCCCGAGTGCTGGTCGTGCTGCGCGTGGCCCACTCTGCAGACCAGCCCGCAGGTGGCGCTCTACTCGGCAGCACCGAGTAACAAACACTAACCCAGGTGGTCTGGTGGCCTCGCTCGCTACCTCCCTACCTCCGGGCCGGAGTCCTTGACTTGGCTTCCTTAGCACTGTCTTGGCTGCTGGGTGCACTCTTCGTTTCCTGAGGCTCCTGAGGGCGCTTTAGCTGAACGCTGCGGTCTCTGGACAAAAGATGGTGACCTAACAGGGCTGGGCCACTCTGCTCTGCGGGCGGGTGAGCCGGACCCTCCCCCTCCAGTCGACAGGGCAGACCCCTGCCTCAGCGGCAGTAGCTACAGTCCTTGTTCGCTCACGGCCAGCCCCTGTGGAGAGACACCCCTCCACCCGTAGCTCCCTGGGGTCCCAGCATCCTGCTTTTCCTGTCCTGGCAGCGAAGGCCACAGGCTGGCTGGGCCCTGGGTGCTAGGCTTGGCTTCCAGCTCCCCTGTACAAACAGCAGGTCCTCTCCCTGGGTGGCCATGGCCGCTTTTGCTTCTGATTTTTCAAGCTTCCATTTAAGGCAACATATAGATGCCTCTTGTGAGCTTCAGTTCAAGGCCAGCCCAGATAGCGGGCCTGAAATCGGTTAGAGACGGGCAGCGCTTGGGCTGAGACTTGGGGAGTCCACCGAGGGACCCGGAGGCAGAGCCACGGCTGCTGGGCACTGCTGCAGGCCCCTTGGGTCCTGGTGTGCAATGCTATCTCCTGATCAGCACTTTCTGTCCGTGGACATTCCTTTTGCAAAAGGATGTTGTGCAGGTCTGGCTTCTGGCTTGCATAGACCCATAAGGACAACCTAGTAAGCACAGTCACTAAAAAAAGGGGGGGTGTTGTGGGACCCCCAGTGCACAGCTGGAGGGCTGTGTGAGATCCCATAGAGGCAGGGGTTGCAGGGTGAGATGTACCCTCTGGCTCTCAGTCGGCAGGCCCCCGGAGACAGCGCCAACAAGGAAGGTTTATAGTTTAGGGGTGGAAAGTGGTGGTTCTTAAAAATACTAATTTTTGTAAATTTAAAAACCTCTGCTGGCTTGCTGCCTCCGATGTGCCAGGTGCCTTGCCTTTGGGTTCTCACGCCCCACCAACCGTGAAGGTTTTTTTTTTTTCCATCACCCAAAATTGGTGGTTATTTACCCGAAGTCGCATCTTCTGGGAACCAGAGCAAGTCAGATTCAGTTGGGGATAAGACTGAGGTTCCCTTTCAGTGACTTTGGTCAAAGTCTGTGACTGCTACACAGGTTAGTAGATTCTTAACTGTCATCAGAGTGGACCTTGCCACCCCTTGTATTTACAGAACCAGGTACTTCGGCTGTCAGCTTGCAGGAGGGGGTCCTTGGCCAAAGGTTAGACCTGCACAAAATAACAGGTCCAGAGCACTTGTTTGGAGTAAAAACAAAAACCATGGCGACGCTTCAGAACTGGCCCAGAGGCCTGTCCGCCCGGGCTCTGCCTAAGGAGGGAAAGATGGTTTAAACTCTGTCAGGCTCCCCTGAGTGAGACCACCGAGCGAGGTTCCCTAGATCGGCTGTCAGACGCCAGCAGGTGTCGGGTGATGGGGAGGAGAGGGTCCTGTTCCTACGAGACACTGACACAGTAGCAGGCGGTTCCCCATCTCCCCGCTCAAGGGCCAGAGACACGAGTGGCTGCCGGGATGCGCTCTCAACATGGACCATCCCGGCCATGCCTCTCCCACAATCACATGCAGCTGGAGATGCGAGACGCCTTCCTCTCTCTGCCTCTGTTCTTTGCCTATGATAGACATATCTGTCCAGAATCCACATCTCTACCCACGTTCCTTAAACACTGCCAGGACAGTGAGAGGATCCTGGTCTCAGCTCGGGCAAAATCCCTTCTGTAGACGTGAATGCGGGCTGCCTGGACGCCGTGAGCACATGGGTCATTTTAAAAAATACACACGGACACGTCCCTGGGTAGCTCACTCTCATCCCCTTGGGTTTACTTTGCTCCTGGAAAAATGAAAGAAGAGAGAATGCATCGCCTCTGGTACCTTAGAAAGACACAGCCCCCTTTCAGGAGGACGGGCAGCCTCCGTTTCGGTGACCAGCCAACCTTTATGGCTGCGTGCTGCCCCACACCAGTCTTACTCTAGTGGGCAAGAGGAAGGGGCTGGGACCAAGGGTTTACTGACTTTTTAACAGTGATTTAGCAGCCTGTGTTTACAAGATGAGCCTTTAAAAAAAACACACCCACATACACATATCAATACACATACAAATATTTTCTCTACAGTCAGTATGTTCTGAAACGGTGCCGCCCTCGCCTGCGCCTGAGTGAGACGGGTGGCTGCCTGTGGCCTGTGTGCCAGTCTCCCCTACCCACCCTGCAGGCACAGACCTGCTGCTGATGCAGCCTGCTCAGCCGCCTCTTCCTGGGGAGAGTAAGGCCATTCTGTTTTGATTTCGGTAGATAATATTGTGCCGTGGAAGTCAGAAGGGCAAAGCGAAGCAGTCATGATGAGAAGCGCGCCTCAGAAATCAGGACACCCCCCATCAGGTGGTTTTGGAGAAAACCAGGAAGGTGGAAGAATGGCGTGCGATGGTGGGCGCAGAGTGGGGGCAGGAATCCCAGGTGCCCCCTGCTTAAGCCACAGGACGTGGCTCACTGCTCACCATGCCCCCCCCACCCCCAGTCCCGGCTGCCAGTGGGTACGGGAGACACCGCGTACGCATCCTGCTATTGGAACTATATTACAGCCATAATGTCAATTGCTAACTAATCATATTGGTCTATAGCCGGAATTTTGTATTAAAAGCGGCATCCTTTTTCAATGTATGCTGTGTAAAAATGTATCTATAGGAAAATGTCTTCGAATTGTACTTCTTGTATGTTACGTACATAGAGACTATTTTAACCAGGCGAAGTACTTTTTTTTTTGGCAGTGATTGGAATAAATCACGTACTACCTTTGAGTCCCATTTAGGACACTAATAATAAAATCATGGCAATGCATTTTTAAGGCTCTGAAAATTTATTTCTTCATGGTTTTAGGAAGCAGGAAGAACTCCTCAAGTCTTTGAAACACAGCCATTTGACCTTTAAAGGGGGTCGGGGTGGCGGGTCGGGCCATGGACTGATCTGTGGGCTCTTCTGCTTGGAGACCTGGAGCCGCTCACGTTGTCTAGTCAACACCCACGCCACCCAAGCACCCCCAGGGGTGGCCTAGAGATGGAGGTGGTCAGGCCCCAACCCAGACCTCCTGGATCAGAATCGCTCCATTCACAAGCTCCCGGTGATTCGTATGCGTGTTAAAGATGGAGAAGCGTTGCCTAGATACCAGTTGGCACAAATCTCTACTAAAATGACGAGTGAAACTGGGTGCATTAAAAAAAAAGAAGAAGACTAAAACGAATTAAGTGCCTGCCTCACGTGTCAGGTAATATGCCTGGCACTTTCATGAACTGCCTTACCGAATCCTCAAAATCAGCTCGCAAGGCAGGGTAAGTCATGGCCCAAGTTCAAAAGCCGGGCCTTGACCCTGGGCTGCCTCTGAGCCCGTAGGGTCCCCGTTACAGCTCTTGGCAGCTGACCTCCCAAGCCATCATGCAGACGGGACAGTGGGGGATGCAAGGTGGTGGCTTCCCGCCTAAATCCTGAGACTTACAAAGCGTACGTCACTAGAAAGAGGGTGGACGTGCACTTGCCGTTTCATTTCCTGCTGCTCCTGCTCCTGGGAACACGGGCTGGGAGGCGGTCTGGCAGCGGCAGGCAGTCTGGTGGGGGTCACAGCAGGGAGCTGCCGCCGGGTCCAGCGTGTAGTCCGCTCTGGAGACGTTGTCCCCAGCAATGTCGTGCAGGACGTTGGCAAGAACCTCCCTGACCTGGGGCAGCACGCGCTGGTACTCCGCACTGCCTGTGTCCAGAGGCACAGCTTCCGTAACATCATCTTCCAGGTTGAAAATAAGGGGGGGCTCGTGAGACCGCGCAGGCCCCACACTCCCGTCGCAGGCTCTGGCTCCTCCTAGAGAGAGGGGACAACAAGGGCCCCGTCAAACCCAGCTCCGGCCCGTGTCGTCAGAGGGGAGACCCGGGACGGATTGTAAATGAACTCAAACACACCAGCACCTGACTATTCAAATGACTGCCCTCCCTGTCCAAGAAATGACCTTGAGAATCTTCGTGCTCATCCCACGATGCTCCTGCTGTCCGGAATGATCCGGAACTTCTCCTTGGACTTGCCTTCAGAGCCAGTAGAACATGCGTTCAAATGTCTTTCATCTCTGCCCTCTGGGAGTAAAATTTGTTTTAAAATAGATTTCTTGGATAGCAAATGTATTCAATTTCAAGCATCAGGCAGGCAGACAAGGTGGCTCCTGCCACTTCGGGCTGAAGTGGAGGTTGCGGTATGCATCCGTCTGGCTGTGGAGGCAGACCCAAAGAGGAGGGCCAGGTGCCTGGGGCCATGGCAGCATCCTTGGTTGTGAATGATTCAGATGACTTTTTTTTGGTTTGCCTTTTCCATGCAAGTAAGCAATTAAGGTATCTGACAAAAATGAATAGAATACAATTGAATGAACAAAAGGAATGCAGGCCAAGGATGGCCCTTGGAAGGAAACAACGGGATTTAGTTCCTAAAGACCTCCTTCGACTCGGAGCTTCTCAGCGGCCAAGCGTGACTAAGTCAGAAACTGAAATCCAATTGCTCGGGGAAGCAGAGCTGCTCTGGCATTGACGTGTGAGAGAGCGTTTTCCACGGCTCCTCATACACGCTGACGGAAAGCACAGCTGGTGGTTAGGATGGCCCAGCCGATGACCTCTCCTCACCCCCTTTATTACCCAGGTGAGAGCGTCACACCGAGGTGCCAGTCAGTGAAGGCAGACCCCCAGGGGCCAGAGCGGGGCTACCTGAGCACCAGCTTCCACCCTAGTCCCCTGGGGAGAGGGCTGACATCTGAAATCTCCGAGTGACAAGAATGAGTCGGTGGCGTGGCCTTGAGGGAACCGACCTAAATGGTTTTCCTCCTGTGACTTAGATTCAGGTTGTTCAGCTGAGAAAGAGAGTCACTGCCTTTGCCTGGCATTTGGGATTGAATCAACAATGAAGAGGGGTCGCGTGAGGTTTGGCCGTCAGTCACGTGAAGGCTGGGATGGGCACCTCTTACGAGAATGAAAGATTTTTGCTTTAGCCGATTTGGCTCAGTGGATAGAGCATCAGCCCAAGAACTGAAGAGTCCCAGGTTCGACTCCAGTCAAGGACACCTACATGGGTTGCAGGCTCGATCCCCAGTCCTGGACTGGTCGGGGGTGTGGAAGGCAACCAATCAATGTGTTTCTCTCACATTGATGTTTCTCTCTCTCTCTGTCTCTCCCCCTCTCTTCCACTCTCTCTAAAAATCAAAGGAAAAATGTCCTCGGGTGAGGATTAACAACAGCAACAAAAAATTAAAGACTTCCCATTAAGGGAATAGTGGGATCGCTTGCATATAAATAACCTTCCTATAGATAACAACTATGCATTCTAGGCAATGTATTAAAAAAAAATCCTGGAAAAAAAAAAAAGGGGGAAAGAAAAAGAAAATAAATAAAAACACACGCTGAGGGCACTAGAAATTAACCAATGCAAAGGCAGCAACCTAACGGGACTCGATCCTTGCGAGAAGGAAGCCACACTGGGTTGGGTCTGTGTTTAAACGACTTCCCCTGGGAAGACTCGTCGTCCCCAGGCTGTGTGGCTCCGAGCAGCTCACCCGAGGAGAAAGCTGTGGTCTCTGTGGTCCCTGAGGTGTCAGGGGACAGAGCTCAGGGCTGCCATGACAGACGACAGCGGCTGAGCAAAATCCTGGGTAAGAGGGAGCTAGCGGGGGGAAGCCTCAGAGTCCTGGGCTGAGCCCTGACCTGCGGGCACAGGGGACACGGGCTCCAGCAGCAGCTACGGGCGGACAGAGCTCAGCGGGCGTTTCTATGCGGCCACATGGGGGAGACGGGCTGAGTGTGGACGCTATTAGAAAGGCCTCAGAAACATTTCACATTTCGCACTGAAGTCCCAAAGGGTTGGTGCTAGGATTAAAGACCACGGCCCAGGACCGAGGCATTCACCTAAGATAAAGGACCAAATCTGCGACGTGGAAAACCAACCTCCACAAGTTTAAGGGAACAGAAAGACCCACACTCCTCAAACACCAGAAGTCAGAATCTCTACGGTCCGGCATCCACAGCGACCAGGGACTACGCAGGAAACTTCCGTTTCCAGCCCAGTCTGTCAGCTCCTGACACACTGGGCTGGAAACGGAAGTTTCCTGCCCAGTGTGTCAGGAGCTGACAGACCATCACTCCATCCGAACCAGTGAAAGGCTGAACCAACTGAAATAGCCGCAGCCTTTCTGGGAGCTGTCGGAGAAGCGACGTCACAGGCGAACGATGCCCCCAAATGGGAGATGCAGATGAATGAAGGGAACTCCCCCAGAGCAGAGCAGACCGGTCGCCTTTTCAGGCCATTCCTAGTTCACGACCGTAAACTCACACCCTCGTCATAGAAGGACACACATCTTCCTCCAGGTACGGACGCCCACCATGTTCCTGGGAGCTCACCCCAGACCAGCTGTGAGTGAGTGGGAGGCAGACTTCCCGGGGGTCGGGGGAGGCATCCGAGCATGTCCTGTTCCATCCTAGCCTGTTTCAGCCCATCCGCTGAGCTGTCGGTGGTCCCCGCCCCCACCCCGAGGGGAGTTGGTGACTCCTCAGAACAGACGTCCCCTGGGTGTCATCACGCCTGTCTGACTGGGATCACTGGAAACAGCCCTGTGACTTCACGGTCACACTTGTGATTCCAGCACTGTGGTGCCGAGGGCTTCCTGGCACGGCTCTCCCTTCTGAAATTAACTCGGCCTGGGGAAGCCGTGCCTCTTAGATACTGTAATGTAAGGGCTGCGATCTAGACACGTTCCATCCGGGAGCGTGACAGTCATCCGACTGGTTTGCGTTTCAGCGTTTGGAGGATCAAAGACGGCTGTGGCATTTTTAATATCCTCCAAGCGATGAACTCACAGAACTTGTTTTCATGCCGCGTTCTCTCCAGGGTCTGTTATCGACACTCCGGGAAAGTCATTTTTTTTGTTCTGTTTTATATAATTCTTTGGCAAGTTCCAACATAAATTAACTGAACCGAATTGGAATCTGCAGCATGTCTCAGATTTTGGTGGGGTTAGGGTTTTGTTTTGCTTTGTTTGTTTTTCATTCATTAAAAAAAAAAAGTTAATGTTCCTTCTAGATGCAAGACACTGTCCACGCACATCAAGATAACAAAAATGAAAGGGCTTACGGAGCTCTGAGCTCAGAGAGCTTGAAACTAGTCAGGGAAGCCTGGCTGGTCTGGCTCAGGGGTTGAGCAGTGACCCAGGCACCAGAAGGTTGCCAGTTGGATTCCTGGTCAGAGAACATGCCTGGCTTGTGGGCTCGATCCCCAGCAGGGGGTGTGCAAGAAGGCGGCAGCCTATGGATGTTTCTCCCTCATTGATGTTTCTCTCTCTCTCTCCCTCTCCCTTCCTCTCTCTGAAAACAAAACAAAAACTAGCAAGGGAAATAAAGCATGCACCTAAATGACTGGCATATAGGTGAGAAAAGCATGAAAAGGGGGAATGTATAAAATGGAGCCACGTGAACCAAGCTGCTAACATTAACATTACGAAGACTGAGGCATGAAGAACAGGTACGTTCTTGTTGTAAGGAGCCCGGGCACGTGAATGTTTTGAACTTTCCAGTCCTGCCTCAATGCCGGGCTGTGCATCTGGACACGTAGACCGGGCCCCAGACAACCCCCTGGCTGCCCCTGAAGGACTCACGCCTGTCTCCACCAGACATCTGACTGACAGCCGTCTCGGACGAATCCTCAGAAGGCAGGACTGCTAATTCTCACGAATGTAGTTTTCACTATAAGAACTCGTAACTTTTCTTTCTTCTTGGGAACACGTCTGGGTTTTTGCCTCGCTGTGTCCCCAGTTTGCCAACTCTGAGACCCTTAAAGAAATAAGTCTTTACCATTGATTGCTAACAAAGCCTGCGGTCTCTTCCTGAGTCTGTTCGACATGCGGCAGAATGTGATAAATATCAGATTTCTCCAGATCCTACACTGCTAGGAAGATGGGAGAAAGTTTTATTTTTATTGATTTCAGAGAGGAAGAGAGCGGTCTCTCTTGATCAGCTGCCTCCTGCATGCCCCACACCAGGGATGGAGCCTGCAACCCGCGCATGTGCTCTGACCGGGAATCAAACCATGACCTCCTGGTTCATAGGTTGACACTGAACCACTGAGCCAGCCGCCCAGGCGGGAGGGAGTTTTATGATCGAGGTGGTATTTGGTTGGAGGCCTTAAAAGTTGAATTGAATATGGAGGCCGTGGCCGTGGCCCTCGGAGAAGATAGGAAGGGAGAGGGACCCAGGAGGCAGGCGTCTGAATGCAGTTGGCAGCAACAAGCCCTTGGGAGGTTCTGAGATGCATCCTAATCCGGTGTCACGTTTCTAAAGCACCCACTGAAGATGGCCACCTGGACGTCTGTCAGTTTGCTAAACCGACCTCCAAACTCTATTTTCTGGAAGTCTCTTGTCAAGTAAATTTCACTGTCAAGTATCTCTGAGCTTCCATGTAATATCCACCCCAACTCGCATCTAAAGCGTAACAGTGTCATGTGTGAAACGGAACAGAAAGAACCACAGGGTGAGGTGAGTCCCTGGTGTGAAGCCACAGCACCAACCCCAAACTCTAACCTCACTCACGGCAGCCTCAGCCACCTCCCGGGAGCGGGATTTTAAACCAATCAGTCCGGAATGTCTTGATCAATACCAGTGAGCTAATCTGCAGGATAACCCCACCCCCACCTCACCCCGCTATTCCTTCCTTCCCCAAAAAGACGACTGTCCCCAAAGCAATCCTTCCTTATCTTTTTCTAATAACGCCTCCGCCACACCCTTCTGCCTGTAAAACCTTCCCTCTGGTGCCCCCGCCCCCCAGAGCGCCCTTCTATTTGTTAGATGGGCTGCTGCCCAGCTCATGAGCCACTTAACAAAGCCAATTCGCTCTCCGATGGACTCGGTGGTGCTTGTTAGCAAATGAAATGGCCTTCAAGTGAGAAGCACTCTGCACTGTGCCGAACGGCTCCGTGCTTGCTGGGAATTTAACAGCAGAAAGACCTTGCTCGCTGCGTGTGATGGGTGCAGAGTGCCTGTGCTGGGCCCTTGGGTGCTGGGACCTCTGCTGGGCCCAGGCTTTGGATGGGAGGGTTGGGGGGATGGGGGTGAAAGCGCTTCCCAAAGGAGGGCCCCCCACACTCATTCCTGCAGGCCTGAGTGAGTCCCCACGGGGCCGGGGCCAGGGCAGGGGCCAGGGCCACCCTCCAGGCCTGCGGGGGGCGGGCACCTCCCTAACTCACCAGTGATGTAGAAGGCCTTGTAACGCTCCAGGCGGACAGTCTGCAGGGCTCCGTACTCTCCCGCTGCCCCACTGTTGGGGTGAAACAGCACCTGCAGAAGGGAGGCAGGGCTCACTCATGAGAAAACCAGGCTCTCTCTGCTCGTCCCCCCAACCCCACATTGAGATACATTAGTCTGTTCCATGCCTCCCTGCTTCAGGTCTTATTTTGTTGGTTAATTCATTTCGTTCATTAGATTCCACAAATAAGTGAGATCGTGTGATACTTGTCTTTCTCAAGATATACCTATATGCATGGCCCACAGACATGGGCAAGAGGGTAGTGGGAGGGGGCTGGAAGGTGGGGGATCAAAGGGGAGGGGAATGGGAGAGATCTGTCACACTATCAACAATAAAAAATATATTTAAAAAGAAAAGGAAGAAAACCAGGCTAGAGGCTCCCTGGGAAGCTAGCGAGTCCGTCCTTCCCCCCCACTTTCCTTGCCCCCCCCCTTTCCCCATCCTGCCTCAAACACTGACAGACACCGGCCCGAAGTCCACACCAGCCCCGTCCTGGGCGCCTCTGTGGCCAATGGGAGTGGGGCACAGCTCTGGCCAGACTCCTAGCCCAGCACCAGCTGCAGGGTCCCCAGCAAAGTGAACATGAAAGGAACCTTGTCCAAAAAATTGAGAATTTCAAGACGACCACAGCAAGTGCATGCTAAACCAAGCACAGGGTCCTTCCAAAGGGCTGGCCCTGCCCGGCTCCACCCCCGAGGTGCAGACGGGCCTGGGGACCTGCACGCTTCACAAGGACCCTCGGGGCCTCCGGCGCAGGTGACCCTCAGGTTCCTGCACAACAGCGTCTCCAGCAGCCCGGCGATCTCTTCACTGTCGCCTGAGCCAGGGCGGCCCCGGGAGGCACCCTAAGAGACCCTCTCAGTGATTCCTCCAGGAATGGGCACGCCCTGCCCTCTGAATGGAGCCTCAATCCTACTCCACCCGACTGAGGGCCCCTTCCTCTGCTGGTCCCAGATGAAAGAACCCCTACAGCCTGGAAACACCTCAGTCAGGGATCCCCAGGGCAGGGTTTGGTGGGAAGTCAGTGGCCAGCGTCCTTGGTAGGCTGGTGGGTTTGGGCTGGAAGTGGGAGACCGCCCTGGTATGAATCATGACCAATATACATCACTGGGAAGGCGCTTACGTGATTCAAAGTTTCCATGGGGCTAAAAAAAAAAAAATCAGAACCATCTGCTGGAGCTGTAAACAGCTGTCCCCCAAGTTTCCCGCTCCGGGAGGATGCCAAGGGCGGGGCTCCTCCCACACCTGCCTCTTCCGTGCCGCGCTCTCGTGACAACCTCCGCGGTTCCCCAGGCAGCGTGATGACAGCGGGCTCCTTCCAAACAGGAAAAGAAGTCGTAACTCAAAACCCTCGCTCCTTCCAGGCCCGCAGGACGCCAAGCCTCTCGCCGCAGGAGGCTGTGGTTTCCTCCCGGGGAAGGCAGGAAGCGGGAGGCTTGGAAAACCTTCTGTCGACTGATCCATGATGCGCTCCGACAGCCAGAAGATGGGAGTCGAGTCCGCTGGTCCCAATCACGGGCGGGCGCTGCGTCTCCGTCGCAGAATCGCCACCGAGTGGGCCGGGATGTTTGTGCGACGTTACCAGAGGCAACCTCCACAACTCCAGAGGACGCTGACTTGGGGGGCGGCTCACTCTCAGAAACCTGGCTGGATTTCGAGAGCTTGTCCCTGCCTCCCCCCTCTCCCCCTGGAGCCGACTGATTATATTCTTGTTTCTATCAACACAGGAAGGAGGCTGGCAAACCGAGCCATGAATCACAGCGGAAGGACGACGTTCTCTCTCGGAGGGTGCCCGGTCCAAATGTCAAAGGTGATCCCACCCCCCGAAAGCCCGCTGCACCCTCGTGGGTGCCTGTCCCACCTGCTGGTTTTGCTTTATTCTGTTCCGTGTCTAAGCACGCGAGCACCGCCTCGTCTTCCATCCTGAAGGCCGGTGCCTCTGCCGCACCCCCAGGAGGCCCTCCGATCCCACAGGATGGGGGTGCACAGCCCTTCGCCCAACGTGGCCAGCCCTTCGCCAGCCACTCGGGATGGCGCCCTTCACCACGAGGGGCCTCCCGAAGAGAAGTGACGGGTGTGTACAAAGTGGGGGTTTGGTGCCAGGCTGTGCCCCCTCCCCTGCCTGGCTCCCCTCCGTCTCCCTCCTTGGGGCAGCCTTCTCTGTCCAGACACGGACGGACGTATCAAGACCAGAGGCAGGAGGCTCAGCAAATGCAAGAATGTGCAGCATGGCGGCCGCTGCCTTTGGTTTTTTGAGCATCACGTCACAGGCCGTCCCCAGCTGCCGCAAGAAGACCGTTTAGTAGGAAACCCAATCGCCCATTCACCTGCCTCTAAACCTCTCAGCAAAGGACCTGGAGAGGGTGCCAGAATATAAGCGGCTCTCGGCCACTTCATTTGCAAAACAGGGAAGAACCCGTTGCTGAGATACATTCACATATTGTACCGAGATGACTAGGAGTTCCTTTGAGCTTCCTGAAACCAGGGTGTTTTTCTTGTAAACCAACCCATGTTAGGATCGTGGCAAGCCCAAGCCATATCTATCAGTGGACACAATCAAATGGTGCTTATTTTAAAACACACATGACATGCGTGTATATGCATGCATGCACATGTATGTACACACATGTATACCTATATAATCACTCATAGTTTTACCCCCTGGCCTCCCTTCAGCAAATTAGAGATGGTTTAGCATAGTCTCATTAGTAGCTGGCCAGAGAAGTCCAAGGCCAAATTCGGAGCAGGGCCAACAACTCCCTATGCGGCCCCCAACGAAGGTCCTCACTAATGCAGCCGAGACCCAGGGCCCGGAGAGGCGGGTGGCCACAGGTGTGTGCCCATGTGCTTTCGCTCATGCAGACGACAGCAGCAGCACTGGCAAGCAGCACCTGGCGGGGATGTCCACGGGGCCCCGGGGTGTGGTCAGGGAGCAGATCCGCCCGACTGAGCTGCGTAGCCACATGGACGTTCCCACGAAAGCCCAGTTGGCGCTGTGGTTTGTTTCTGGTCCTTGAGGCTGAGCCCTGAGAAGGGGCCTCCTGAGCCTGCAGACTTGAGAAAGAGAGCGAGCGTTCTCCCGTCTGGGAACGGAAGTGAGTGCGAAGGAGCTGGCTCCACAGGCCCCGACCACATCAGGGAGACCACAGTCCTTGAAGCACTTCCTGGTGATTCCGATGACTCTGTTAGTTGCCATGGTGACGCACACTCAAGAGCATCTCCCTGATGTCCTGGATCCGCCCCCAGGGTCCCGTACTGCGACTCCTACCTTCCTGCCTCTCGCTGCTCAGGAGCAGGGCGCGGCCTGGGAGCGCCTGCCACTCCAGAGGGGAGGATGTTCCCAAGAGAAGCGGTACTTCTCGAGGGGTGAGGGGTGCGGGGCGGGGAGAGTACGTGCCAGGCATCATCTGACAACACCCAGACACCAATGAGTGTTCACAGAAGCACTGACGGCCCACCCAGGCCCAGTGTGGGGCTTGCTGGGGCCGCATGGGGAAGGGCAGCTGCAGTAGCTGCCACAGCACATTTGAGCGGCATCTGAGTCACTTCCATGTGGCCCTCGGTAAAGGCCTAGCTATAAATAGACGCTTTGATGTGCGGCCTCTAACTGAGAAGCCCTGTGCTCACAGAGCCTCGCAAAGGGGGTTCCGGTCCCTCCATCCTCCTCCCTCCTCCCACTTCCTCTTCCCCTTTTGGCAAAAGGAAAACTGGGAAATGACAGGGACAGGCCATCAGGCCCAGCGTTTCCTGGTTGTGCCTCCGAGCATCTGAGGAGAGGACACTAGGCCCTGGCTGGTGTGGCTCAGTGGATAGAGTGTCGGCCTGTGGACTGAAGGGTCCCAGGTTTGAGACCAGTCAAGGGCACATGCCCGGTTGCAGGCTCTAGCCCCAGTAGGGGGCGTGCAGGAGGCAGCCGATTGATGATTCTCTCTCAACATTGATGTTTCTTATCTCTCCCTCCCTCTCCCTTCCTCTCTGAAATCAATAAAAATATTGAGAGAGAGAGAGAACACTGGGTGCTGGGTCTCACAGCCTTGAGCTAGTGTGGCGGCTGCAGAGCCTCACGCTGGGCCTCCAGGAGCCAGGGCCTGTCCCTGACATGCAATGTGCACCTCGGCCCAACGGTTAGACTTAAATCTGACTGACATTCGGGCTGATTATAGGGAAGCAGAGGAAGGGAGAGGAGAGAGGTTCATCTTAGAGGAGTCGCCCTCAGGGTTTCTTAGGCTGGATCTGGAGCGGCCTGCCGCTTGCCTGCCTCCCCTGGGATGGCTCTGTTTGGGGTGAGGCGGCAGGCCCACCCCAAAGAACCGGGCGGGGTACATATCTCCTTCACTTACCCTGTGCCCAGTCTGCGACCCGCCAAAGAGCACGTCGGAGGCATCCAGACCGTCGAAGTGGCGGCCTCGGGGCAGGCTGGCACCGGCCAGGGCCACCACGGTGGGGAAGATGTCCAGCACACTGCGGGAGGATCAGACAGACAGCCTTGGCCCGGCTGGCCCCAGACTCTGCTGGCCATGCTGTGGCCAAGACCCACCCGCACCAGCCCAAGCCTAGCACTGGCGGCCCAAGCCCAGCATTGTGTGGCCCACCCTCCCCCGGCCGGTCCTTCCCTCACGTTCCACCTGGGTTTCTACCCTCCAGGCGGCGGATCGGCCCAGTGGTTCAGCACCCACGCTCTGCGGCCAGGGGTTGCCTGGGCTCAAATCCCAGTGCTGCCACCTGTCCGGCCCCTCGGGGCTTCGGTTTTCTGTTCTGTAAAATGGGCACGATGCCCTGGGGGGTGTGGCTCCGTTGGTTGAGCGTGGTCCCTGGCACTGAAAGGTCACCAGTTCCAATCTGGGTCGGGGCCCATGCCCAGGTTTCTTGCTCAATCCCCAGTCGGGGTGGGTGCAGGAGGCAGCCGATCGATGTTTCTCTCTCTCTCTCCCTCTTCTTCCTCTCTCCCTAAAAATCAATAAAAACACATAAAAATAAAATGCGCGTGATAATAATCACCCTAAAGGCACAGAGAAGAAGCTGGTGCTTGGTCAGTGCTCCTTGGAAGTCTGTGCTGTCACTGTTCACAGTGACACCCTGTGGGCGGTCTGCGTGGTTCTGCCTGTCACCAGCGGGGCCACAGCCACGCGCTGAGAGGGAACAGTGAGTGGCAGGTGTCTGCACGAGAAGGTGCCTGTCCTGTTCCTTCCCTGGGACTCTGTGCCCTGAATATCTAGCCTTTCTTGGGAACCCAGTGATGTGAGAAATTCTCCATCTCCTTCAATTTAGCTCTTTTCCCATTAAAAGAGCAAACGCTCCCGACAGACACAGCTGGTGCAGACGAGGAAAGGAGGAAGCGTGCACAAGCAGTGCACCGCCCAGGGCAGCCGTCGGCGACAGAGGCAGCCTCGAAGCGTCGCCCACCAAAGCAGCTGTGGTTACCGTTAGGGTGCACTTGGTTAATGTGGCCTTTTAAAGCTCATGTGGTACAATTTTACTCCACTACGGGGCACCCCCTGCCCCTCTGTCCAGCCTGCTATGCTCTCGGCGCTGGGAGCAGCTCTCCAGCAGGAACACGTGGGCTGCCCTTTCCACAGAGCTGTCGACCCGCGGGCCCAGACAACCGAGTGTCTGTGGGACCTATTGGCACAAGGCGGGCAGGGCCAACGTGAGGCTGGCCTCCCCCAGAAAGAGGCTCTGGCTGGCCTGGGACTGGGCCCGGCAGCAACTGGAGGCTCACTCCTGCCACTGTCCCACTGGGCGCCTGGCGGGCGGCATCTGCCCTGCAAAGGGGCTGCAGGTGGGACCTGCCATGAGGCCCCTCCTCCCTCTGCCCACCTCCTCCTCCGCCTCCGCCTCCGCCTCCTCCCCAGAACTCTGCCGACCACCCAGGGCAGAATCTCTCCTTGGACTCGGTACAGAGTGTGTCTGCTTTGCCTTCTGTTCTCAGTCCACGGAGCCGGTGGCTTCTCTCCCGAGAGACGTGCTCCGGGAGCTGGCATCCCACGGCCGAGCCACGGCACGCAGCACAGAGAAAGCCTCTGCAGCGTCCAGCACAGCCCAGGACCTGTCCGCAGGCCACAGCCACGCCCCGCGCAGCGCCGGTGCCGTGTGGATAGGGCGTGGTCGGGGCTGTTTGCCGGGCTTTGTGGAATGTGTGCCCCCGAGGGGTCTGGGGCACAGATGGGCCAAATCCGTGAGCAAGAGAAAGAGGAGGTGCTGGACTGTGGGATGCACGGTCACTTTCTTTTCCATCTCATGTTCCCCTCTGTCTGAGGCTCCGTTTCCTAGTTACACAGCACTAAGCCGACGTTCTCGGAACCCCAGTGTCTCCGGGATTCCCGGGGCCTCGGCGAGTCCTCGTCCACCCAGAGCAGAGAGAACTGCTGGCCGGAGAGAAACGTGGCAGCGTCTCCGGGACTCGCCAACGCCGTGCTGCCCGAAGGCGGAGGCTGCCAGCAGTCCTTTCTCACGTGGCGGAGGGCGCCAAGCCGAGGTCCCCCTGGAAGAGGGAGGTCATCTTGGGCACAGATGGTCCCGGGGCCTCCCAGCCGGGCATGGATGTGGAGGAACCAAAGGGGCCCCAGCTGCTCCGAACTTCAAACCTCACCCGAGAAATCGGTCCTGGGAGAAAGAGACAAAGCAACCCGGACATTTCCAGGTTTCTGCAGTTCATTGTGCTACTTGGGGGAGGTGCTGGCAGGGCCGCACTCTGGCTCCCGTGGCACCCGGGCACCGTTCCCTTCCAGGCCCTTCGTCCACACAGAATGTCCGAGTCCCCTTTCCCGCTGTGTGGCTGTACAGGTGAACACAGAGTACACGTTAAACCGTTTTCTTCTACCGAAAAGGTCTCTGCTTTTCCTTTCTCTCGGTTTTAAAAGAAAATAAACGTGTCAAGTGTTCCCAAAGTCTCCTGGCCCTGCACTGCGCCTCCTGGGCCTGACGGAGTCGGAGACACCGGCCCTGGCTTTAGGGGGGACAAAACCACACCTCCATGGCCCCTGGCGACGAGAGGGCAGCCAGCAGCCTGCTCACAGGAGAGGCGAGGTTGCTCTGCACCCTGACAAAAGGCTGCCCTCCGTCCGCGTGGGCAGGGACGCCTGTGCAGGTGCTACTGCCCGTCTGAAAACATTTTCCTCCTTCTTACTCCGGCTTCGGCCAGCCCAAGGTGCCGGAGGCTGCCTGGAGGGTGTGTGCATGTGCGTGTGTGTGTACGTGTTCGCGTTCTTATCCAAGGAGCTGCCAAGGAGCCTGGGGGTGGAGCCGGGTGATGGAGAGAAGGATGCAGGGGCTGAAGGGCTGCAAGCAGCACCGCCTGGACCCCAGGATCCATGCTGCTGGGAACGGGGGTGCCAGGCTGGGCGGGCTGTCCTGGGGGGAGTGCATCCCAGCAGGTGGGGAGGGACGGGGTTTCCTAGAAGCTGGGACATTTTACCTGAGAAAACGGAGGATGTGATCAGAAGACGGGAAGTGAGAATGGCGAGGGGTTGCTCGGGAAGGACTGGGGGTGCGTGGGACTGGGCACGGAGGGGTGGAGACAGAGCAGAACTCCCTTCAGACCGTGGAAGAGTGGGGAGTGTCCCTAGGATGTGGGGAGCAGTGTGTCGGTGTTCCATGGCACGTTTCTTCCTGCGTGGTCATTCCCCCTCGTTTCCCCTGGGAAAAGCTGGGAGCCCACCCCTCCCTGGCCTCAGCCCCCTGCGGAGGGTGGAGGGGCTGCGGCTGCCCCCGGAGCATCCTCAGAGCCCAACAGTGAAGGTGCAGCGTGGCGAGGTGGGGTGGCACCGCCTCATCCCCCCACCGCTGCTCACAGTTCCTCAGGGCCGGCCGCCAGGGTGCAGGCGAAGCGACTCTGGCCTTGTCCATCTCTGCATCCTCCGAGCTGTGATGTCATGGGGATAAGCACCCCGGGTGGGAGGGCGGAGCTCCCGAGAACAGGACATGTTTGTGCCCTTCTCCTGAATGAACCATGGGAACAGGCGGCTGTGGCCAATCCTGGCAGTGAGGGTGCTCCCCGCAAGTGTGCACGGATTCCCGTGGGAAAACACAAGAGGGTGGTGTCCATGGAGAGACACTGTCCTTCTACAATCAAGACAGATCTAACACCAAACACTACCCTACGAGGGGCTGCTAGGGTCGGCGGTGCTGTCCTGGCAGACGTTCCCGGCGCCCTCGGCAAGCGTCCCCTGCACCGCGTCTCGCTCCTGCGGCCCCCGAGCTGTCCCCTAAGCCGCGTTGGCCTCTGCGGCCCGAGATGGTCAACAAGCTGATGCGACTCCGTCACCATCAGCGCCGAGGTGGATCCAGGTGTAAACACCGCTCTCGCGGGAGAGGCGTGTGCTTGGCTTCGGTGATGGAACTGGAGACGGCCGGGTTGTGTGTGCGTGTGCAGCCGGGCCTGTGAGCGCTCGGCCTGTGAGCACTGGGCCTGGCTGCGCGCACCACGCACCACGTGGGCCCCATAAAAAGCAGCCCGCCTGGCCCTCTGCCCGGCCAGCTGACAGCACGGGACTCCAGGCCTCCTGACTGTGCGGGGCTGACCCGGAGTCCCGGGGCCTGCTTTCCTCTGCTAACGCCCTGTTCCCTCGGCCGGTACCCACGCGGCTAATGACGAAGAACCCGCAGAAATACATTCGTCTCCAAGCAGACCCAGTCCTCCGGGCACGTGAGCGGGCACTGGCTTCCACCGCGGGCCCCGCTGCCAGGGAACACAGGCACAGCCCTGTCTGAACGAGTGAGAAGTCCCCGAGATGGAGACCCTGCATGACACCGCGCTCCGATGGCCACCCAGCCAGGTCCTGTGCCCAGGGGATGGCCTCCCGGATCGGCCCCAATAAGGAGCTGAGAGCGCTGGCTGATGACACAGTACCGGTGTCCTTCCAACGGAGGCAGCGCCCGGGACCCGCCTCCTGGCAGAAGCTTCGTTGCCAGAAGTAGGAAGAGTGCCCTCGCCAGGGGCTCACTCCCTCCGCTCCAGCCTGGGGGCCCCGCCTCCCTCCTCCCGCCCCTCAGGGCACGTGGACATCTACACGCCTTTCTGGGGGCCACGTGATTGCCTGTGAAGGGCTGGCTTCACACAGCCACCCCTCGGACACCTGCCCCGCCTCATCACTTCAGCTCAGATGAGGATTCCTCCTGCCAGGTGGGGCCAGGGCAGAAGGGAGAGGCCGTTCTCTCCGGCAGACACACCACCCGGACTCAGCGCCCCAGGCCATGAACCCGCCCAGCGCCCTCTGCGAAGACGCCACTGCGCTGCTGCCTGAACCAGCACGTGAACTGCGGACGGCAGGCCCCGGCTGCTCCCAGCGGAGCTCCGGCGCTGTCTGGGGACACCTGGCAGAGGCAGGTGGTGGAGGAGGTCTCTCACCACTCGAGCGCCTGTGACTTCCTGGCGGTAAACCCCAGCGCATCAAGGTCGTGTGGGTCTCTTACCTTAACAAGGCGGCGCTGGTGACATTGCCGGGGACTCTGCCGGGCCAGTACGCCACCGCCGGGACCCGGTGCCCTCCTTCCCAGGTGGTCTGCTTGGCTGGACTGCCCCCTAGAAAGGAGGAGGGGCAGGTGGTGCTTTGACAAGGGGCTCCGGTCTCTCCATCTCACAGCCGCCCTTGGGGACAACAGTCCCTCCTAAGGGGACCCGCCAGGAGCCTCTGAGAATCACAACAGTAACCAGCTATTTTTTTTTAATCCTCACCCAAGGACATTTTCCCATTGATTTTTAGAGAGAGTGGAAGAGAGAGGGAAAGACAGAGAGAAACATCGATGTGAGAGAAACACATTAATGGGTTACTTCCTGCATGAGCTCCGATCAGGGCCTGGGCTGGGGAGGAGCCTGCATCCGAGGTACATGCCCTTGACCAGAATCAAACCCGGGACCCTTCAGTCCACAGGCTGACACTCTATCCACTGAGCCAAACTGGCCAGGGCATAACCAGCTATTTTTATTCAGGTGGTTAATATCTTCCAATGCGAGCTTTTATCTTACTGGACTCAACATGCATGAGGAGTTGCCTCAGTCCCTCCCTATTGAATCAGGTCACTTTATTTCCTTCACGACACCTTTCATGCTTCCCGTCGTCTGGTTACTGGCTTGCTTATCCTGCGAATCCACACCACGAGATTTCATGTCTCCTGGGCCCGAGACACAGTACTTAGCGAATATCCATTAAAGTAAGTGCATTTGTCTTTCTGCTGATTATAATGTGATCGTTTCGGATGAAAAAATACAATTGGCCCGGCCGCAGCGCCTCAGTGATTGAACGTCGACCTATGAACCAAGAGGTCAAGGTTCAATGGCTGGTCAGGGCACATGCCCGGGTTGTGGGCTCGATCCCCAGTGCGGGGCGTGCAGGAGGCAGCCCATCAATGATTCTCATCATTGATGTTTCTATTTCTCCCTCTCTGAAATAAATTTAAAAATGTATTTTAAAAAATACAATTGTTTGAAAAGAGAGAAAAAGCAGAACATTCCCCAGCTATTTGAGCTGCCCAACGCCCAGCGACGGGTCTGGCGCGGGTTTTCCTGTTGTCTTTTGCTTTGCTTTGTTTTTCCTTGAATTCATGAGTTGTTCTGATGTCGTGGAGACGGCATTAGTAACAGCTCCGACCTCTTGCCTCCCGGGAGGAGGCAAGGACAATCCCTGTGCAATCTATGAATTTACACTTTGGAAATGAAAGGAATTCTTTTCGTATCCGCCAAGGCCAACGTGACCACCAGTTTAATGATGACCGGCGGGCTGGGAGGGATGAGGTCATGTTTGATGGAAACATCCTGAATACATGTTGCCTGGAGCTAGCCATGACCTCCCCACTCCCACACACACCCCACCCGCATCCTGGCTGAGCCAGGGATTCCACAGCGTTCGCGTGTGGAAGGCCCTGCCAAAGCAGACGTGTGTGGCTCCCACGGACCGTGGTCAGGCAACGCCCCCGCCCGGCTGGCGTGAATGTGAGAGCGATGGCGACGGGAAGGAGGGGCAATTAGACCGAGGCGTCTGCCCCGCTGCACTCACAGTGGACCGTCAGGGCCCGGGTCCTGGCCCGGCACGCCACACCGAAGATGCTCGGTGTTCTTGAGCCTTTCTCAGAACCCGCTTTCGAGCCCCCCAAGTGTTAAAGTGACCATCAAAACACAGAACGTCTCCCCTCCTGTGGACGGCTCATGTTTAGGGGTGTGGGGCTCTCGAAACCAAGTGGCGTTGGGCAGGCTGAATGGGAAGCCCTCTGGCCTGGCCCAAAAGGTCTCAAACACAGTCTTCCCCACGAGAGGCGCACCTTCCACAAACACATACAGGGCCCACTCCCAACGACCGGTGCACACGGACGAGAGAGTCCACAGGAAGCACGGAACGCACTCCCACGCGGCTGCGGGCGCACGATGTTCGCCCCGCTGAAGGCCAGAGAGCAGGCAGGTGGGGAGTGTCCACGCGTGCACGTGCAGGGCTCTGCAGAGAGTTCCACGCCCACCAGGGGAATTTATGTGGAAGCCGGGGGGGCGGGCTGGTGGGTGGAACATGGAGCCTGTTTATTTGCATGTCCATGGTGCACAAGTTTCGGACAGGTCTGCTTAGCCTTGGAGGCCAGATGCTAAGGAAGGCGAAGGCTTTAGCTCCCAGAAATGAGCCGACAGTGCTGACAGCCAGCCAGAAGGCAGGTGAGAGCGCTGCGCGCGGCAGGCGAGGGCCCCCGGGGTCGGCCCAGGAGCTGGCCTCCGCCTCCGGGATGTTTTTCGGACGGTGCACCAGCCCCTAATGAACAAACCTGCTAACGGGCCTCCACCACTAGGGAGTCTGCTTGTTTGCCACACGCTTCTGTGTTGCTGTGTTCAGGCAAGGGACGTCCCCAAGTTGTTTTTCAGGAGAATATTGCTGTGTTTGCCTTATTTCAGCAGAGGGTTGGAAGCTGGAGGGGCTGCAAGGAACTCAGTCAGTTATAAGATGTGTGCAGAGTCCACAGGCAAAGGCTCAGAACTAAGAGGAAGTGAGAAGAGGGCTGGCTGGGCGCAGCCCCTCGGCGCGCCCACTGGAGGGTCCACCCCACTCTACGTCTGCTGCACCCTGGGTTCTGGCTTTAACAGAGAGACACAGTTCAAAATCCCAGCCATACCCAGAGACCTGCACTCGAAAGCAATCTCTCTGAAAAGCACCTAGGGTGTGCGTGAGCAATTATAAAAGTGTACATCCCACTCGGCGTGGACACCCTCTTACTCTGAACCCCGGCATCCATGGCACTGGGGTGGACAGACTTAAAAAATCCAACTAGCGTTTTCCATGGGGCCCAGGCCTGTGGAGTCTGATGATCAGAATAGCGTTGCTTGTTGTGATTTATCTGCACCAGCAGAGGCGAATCCCAAGAGAGCTGCCTCCGGTCCCCCCCCGCCCCCCCTACTCTCCAGTGATACGTGCTCCTACTAATGGAACCTCATTTCCAGTTAAACAACAGTAACACTACCATCTCCTGTCTAGGGAGCCCTGCCTACGCACAGAGTTAAAGCACCCCTGAGCGCAATGCGGAGAGCTTCCCTGCGTGACCTCATTTAATCCTTTTGATAACCTTGAGAGCCAGGTGCTTCTTATACCCACTTTTCAGATGAAGAAACTGAAGCTCAGAGAGGTTAAGCAATTTGCCCAAGGTCACACAGCTAGCAAATGCGAGAGCCAGGATTTGAGTCCAGGTCTAACTAGACAGCCAACACTCTCAGCCATTAAATCTTCTAGGGCCGCGTACCCACTCATCCCTGAATGCGTAGTAGACTCACTAGGGGAGCATTAAAAAATACCCACGCCGAGGACCTTTTCCCAGAAACCGTGATTTAATTGGCCCGGGATGCGCTCCTGGTGAAGAGCGTCCATTCCAGAAGTAGGAGGGCTGGGACATGATCAGAAAGTGGACATAATGCATTGAGAATTAAATGTAGCCTTGTGCGTATAATCACAGGGTTTTATACTGCCCACACCTCTATACCTTTAAGACACAGGATCATGACTGTAAGTTATAATAACAGGTAAGTCTGTAGATTAAATGTCTACAAACTTTCTGATTCCAAAAGCCACTTCTCGGCGTGGAGGAGCCCTCAGCCCCTGACTGTGGCACGCACAGGAGAAGTGTTGGTTGCGTGTGGCTTTCTGTTGAGAAAAGCATGTCCCACGGTCGTGAGAACGCGTTGCAATGCGCTTGCGGTTAGTTATGACTCTAATTAAGGCAGAGCCTCTTACTTAAAGCAATAACTATTTAGCCTCAGCAACCAAAGCATAAACAGAACCATGATTCATGGATTTGCTTCCTTGTTCTTCCCTGGCGGCGGAAGTGACGTGCCTTCCCTCCTGCGTGGTGGCAGGGCCGGCCACCGGGCTGCCTCGGCCCACGCTTAGGAATAGCAGTCTCTCCGGAAGGGACACCGTGCCACGCCGCCCTGAGTCAGAAAGACAGCGCGCGCCACTTCCCATAGAGGAGAACCCCGGGAGGCCCAGCAGAGACCCTGGCTGACTACGTCCAGGGGGGCTCGGGTTCAGGCGACTCCGATGCCGGTGGTCTGAGGGCCAGCGTTTGAGGAATGTTAGCAAGGTGAGTGGGAGGCACCTGGGGCACCAGCAGACCTGAGGTCTGGCTCCAGGGCCACCCTTCTCGTTCGGTGGCCTGAGGCAGAACTCTGAACACCCCCGTCCGACGCCCTCTCCCCAGCCACGGAGGGCAAACAGGATGGTATTTATCTCCTGGGGCTGGGCGGAAAGCTACGTAAGTGACTGTATATGAAATTCGAAGCAAGAGCCTTTGGCATAGTGCCTGCCCGGCCGGTGTGGCTCAGTGGTTGAGCATTGACCTATGAACTAGGATGTCATGGTTTGATTCCCAGTCAGGGCACATGCCTGCAGGAGGCAGCCTATCCATGATTCTCTCTCTCTCTCTCTCTCTCTCTCTCTCTCTCTCTCCCCCTTCCTCTCTGAAATCAATAAAAATATATTTTTAAAAAACCAAACAACTGAAAAATCACCTACAGATAAGAGAACAGAAGCTGCCACCTGACGGCTCGCGCGCTGAACCGAGCCCTCTGACGCGTGGTTTGGCAAGGATGGCTTTGTTTTATTCAAACTAATTTTGTATGTCTTTGGACAGGACCCAGTCTCCAGGGCCCTGAATCGCTGACCGGTCCACGCCGAAGACACGGACACATGTCCGTTTGGATCCCCGGCCCGAATGGGGCCCGCAAAGGCCGCTGAACCTGTGGCTTGGGCAGAGAACACGCCTGTGCTGAGGAGTGCACGTCCTGCAGCCCCTGAACAGCCGGCTTCCTTCCTAAATAGAAACACACGCGTGCCCTTGCCAAGGGTGCCTGGAGCCGATGGGCTTTCCAGAACCAAAGGGCAGCCAGGCCTCCGTGGGGACCGAGGACGCTGGCTGGCCGGGTGGCCTGAAGTGTGACAACGGGGGCGTTTCAAGCCTGGTGGCCAAAGGCCCGGGGGGCACACAATTCCACCTCCCTGTCCCCGACCAGGGCCAGCAGCCACCCCCTGTCCAGGGCACCCTCACCCAGCCCACCTCTGACCTTTCGCCACTCCCCCCCCCCCCCCCCCCCCACTGGACAGAAGGCCCCAATGCAGAGCGAGTCCCAGTGGGAAAGGTTATGCAACCACCTGATAGCATCAGATTACAAACAACCAAGGTCTCTTCGAGGCTGAGGATGCCAAATTCAACAGAATGTTTCCCCATCACCCAGGGGGAGGAAGGAACAGTCCTGCTCTTCAAATAAAACAACAAGAAAGAGTTTCCAGACAGAGGAGCCGTCTGTCAGCGGACAAACAGGCGCTGGCTCTGTCCCGGCGGGAACGGGGTCTGATGTGGGGAGAGGGGCAGCTGCTCTGGGCCAGGCCCCGGGCCGGGGCGTGCGCTTGGGGTCAGCACTGGGCAGGCACCTCACATCCTCTTTGTTTGGGAGAAGGCAAGGCCACCTGGGGTTGCCGCCCCCCTCCCCCCGAGTTCGGTTTCTCCTCACCCCTGCAGGCACAAGCCAAGCCCAGGGGAGCACCCTCACTCCTGCACAGGGCGAAGCTGTGACTCCAGGAGACACTGCCTCATCCCATCAGCTGAGCAGGGCGGCGTGGCCAGGAAAGGGAAGGGAAGACCAGGAGGGGGCCGGGGCCTGCGAGCAGGAGCAGGCCGGCGACAGAGCGGGAAGAGCAGGGCTCTGGGTACTGTTCGTCCTACTCCGTTGCAAAAACACTGTCTTCTCTCTTTCATCTGCTCTTGAGACCGGCCCCCTTACAGCAGGACATGCAGGCTTCCTACCAGCAAGGAACAGGTGGTCTAGAGGGACCCCAGCTCCCCTCCTGCCCTGAGCCCTGGCTACACCCTTCCAACAGGGCTCTGCCTGGCTTCCCAGAGCCCCCAGCAGCTTCCTGGGCAGGAGGAGGAGCAAGGCTGTGGAGTAGCTGACAGAAGCTGATTTGGGGAACGAAGATGACATTCAGGACCTCCTAAGAAAAGGAGAAAATGGATCCGGCCCCAGCCCCACCACGAATCCAGGGCCTGTGCCTACCACTCAGATACCACATCAGGCCTCCCTCACAAATCCCTGGCTGTCTCCTACTCATTCTTCAAAACTAGCCACTCAGGAAAGCCTTCCTGTCGGCCTCCCAATGGACGAGAGGCCCTTGAGCTTCCTGCTATCATGGCGTTCTCACCCTGCAGCAGAATGACTTGCCGATGTGTTCGCTCCCATTCTGTCCAACAGAAGACTTTGCCGTCACGCAAATGTTTTCTATTTGCACCATCCAATAGGGTAGCCGCCCGCCACATGTGGCTTCCGAGCCCTTGAAGTGTGGCTAAAGTGAGCAAGCAACTGAATTTGAATTCAAATAGTCATGTGTGGCTACTGCCACAGATTTCTGGGCCTCGTCCCCAGAGTTCCTGATTCAGCAGGTCTGGGCAGGGGGCCTGGAACCTGCGTTGCTAACGAGTTCCTGAGACCATGCCTTGCCAACATCTGGTTGACATCTGGACGTTCAAGACGTGGATGACTCTAGAATCAAGATGGTCTGGATGTGGATATTCGAGGTTGGTGGTTCTCCAAGTGGGGTCCCTGGGGTAGACTATCGGCGTCACCCAGGTGCTTCTGGGAAATGGAGCATTTCCATCACCATCCCAGACCCACTGAGTCAGAATTTCACCACCCCTCCAAGCCAGGGCCTTTGATGACCTCTGTCCCCAGCACTGAGTTCTGGGCCCACAGTAGGTGCTCAACTAAAGGAAGGAAAAGAGCGAAGTAGGTTGCCCAGCTAGTAAGTGTGTTTCTCCTAAGGCAAGGTGCTTCCCTCGGAGAAGGCCCCTGTCCACAACCCTCAGCTGGAATCCCTCTTTCAAAACTGCCTCCCAGGATGGGGGGAGAGACACGATGAGGCCGGTCCTCAGGCAGGAGACCAGAGGTCAGCTCTGGGGGAACAGAGAGCTCCCCACAGAGGAGCCACTTACCGACAGACCCTTCCCCCCCCATCCTTGGTTTCCATGCCTTCTGGATTTTCACCCTGGACAGTTCTGATTCCAGGCTCGCCCAGGCTTTCCAACTGAGCGTGGGAGGTGGCAGCTGGCCTGCGGGTGTCCCAGGTACGGAGAGCAGGCCCCGTAACCTGCTACCGCAAACAGCCCCTCCCGCTCACACCTGCTGCTGTTCCGGGCGTCAGACGTGTCGCCACCCACGTCCAGTCCTGGCACCTTTTCCTGGACCAGCTCTCCAGGAACCAAAAGTAGGTTACCGTGTTCTTGAACTGGAGAGAACCAAAGAGACCAACAGAGAGAGAAACCCCAACCCTGTATGCACAGGAGAGGGGAGGTGGCACCCGGTGCCCTGACACGAGACAAGGCCACAGTCCTGGCAGCCGCTCCCTCGTAAAGTTTTCCAGGATCCGAGTCAAGGAACACCAGGTTAAAGTTGATGGAGAAGAAGGAGCAATCAGCACGTCCCTCTCACCCCCGGCCATGAGGGGCACAAAGGTTATAGTCTTGGGGACGACAAATATGCTGACTGACGAATATGGGAGGGACTTTGTGTCCTTTGACCTGGACACCGGGGGCCACAGCTCAGGATCGAGCTGGACGGCAGGAAAACCCAGGCACAGGGGTAACCCTGCCACGCCCACCTCAAAGCCCCTTAGGTACAAGCACCTTCTAAAAACTTAATTTAACTTTTTCGGATATAATAATACTAGTTCGTTGTGGGGGGAGAAAATCGTACTTCAATCCTCCAGAGATAATTACTGCTAATCATTGGTTACCTTTTCTTGCCTCTTTTAACAATTTTCCCAAGAATACCTATGCTTATTTTCATATAATTACCCCTTACCTATTGTTTTTGGGTTTTTGCTTTTTTTAAATTAATCCTCACATGAGGATATTTTCCCCATTGATTTTTAGAGAGAGGGAATGGAAGGGGAACTACAGAGAGAGAGAAACATCAATGTGAGAGAGAGACATCGATTGGGTTGCCTCCTGCACGTGCCCGGACCAGGGCCAGGGATAGAGCCTGCAACCAAGGGACAAGCCCTTGACTGGAATCGATCCTGAGACCGTTCAGTCCGAGGGCTGACGCTCTAGCCACTGAGCCAAACTGGCCGTGGCCTTTACATGTTGTTTGGCAATCTGCTTTTTCACTGAAAAGTACTGCAGGCAAATGCTTCCAGGTCAATGATATGCAGCATTTCACACTCCTGTTGGTAGATACCTGGGCTAAGTCCAAGAAGCACTGTTGTATGTGCATCATTGTGCACTTGGCTACTTATCTCTTCAGGACAAATTCTCCGAGGAGACACGGAAGCATCAGCAGGCTCGCGCCTTTTTCAGGGTCTGGCCCACACTACCAAACTGTCAGCAAATGGACACTGAGCTGAGAGCGGAAGGATGTTTAAACAGAGAAGGGCAGTGTGGCGCAGTGGGGAGATCGCCGGCTTTCACTGTGTGACGGTGGGCAGGTGACTTGGCCTCTCTGAGCCTCTCTCTCTCTCCATCTGTAAGTGGAAATGAACCTGCCTTTCATGACTGAAAGCTTTAGAGACAATGGGTACAGAAACCTTCAGTGAGCAGTGCACTACATACCTCTTGAATGAATGAAATGAATTAATGGTTCGGTGGATGGAGGGATGACTTTTTTGAAAGGAGAGAAAGAAGGGAAAGAGAATGAGGAGGGTGGTCCCAGGAGAGGAGAGACCAGGATGCTCCGGGCTGAACAGAGGCTCTCTCTGCCCCATCAGGTTCTCTTCTGGGACCTGGTGGCTGGTGAGGACCTTGTCCCTGGTTCACAACGATGCCCTGAGGCCCGGAGATAGAATCCCATGTCCTACCCACAGTGGGACCCACCAGCCCCAGCTGAGCCCCTACCTCGAGGAACTTGCCACGATCCGGTGAAGGGACCCACGCTGCCTGCCAGCTCACATTTCTGAGCCCACGGGCCGTTGTCTCCTAAAAAACCAAAAGAAGAAACATGAAAAGGTCAACAAACCGGTGGTCACTTTGGCTGAGTCTCTCTCTCTCTCTAGCCCTATATCCCTGGGCACAGCAGGGGACTGGATAGAAGAGGGACCTGTAAAATCAACTAGGACCCTGCCCTTTAAGAGCTGCTGGGCTTTCAAAGAGCAGGGTTCCTCCTCCGGCATCTTGGGGCGCCTGCCTTATGGACTTGGGCCTTTTATAGCTTTAACAATCTCATTACCAATGCCATCAGCCCAGCCACGACTGACTGACCACCTATGATGCGCCCGGGGCTTCACATACATGATCTCACACCCTCCAACATGCTACAGACTAAGACCCCATGGTTAGCTTCACTTTGCAGATGAGGAAACAGAGGTGTGTAGAGATCAACCTTCTCAGCAGCAGCATACGGATTCGAATCCAGGTGTCTACGTGACCCAGCGGCAGCGCTCTGACCCTCTGCCTCCTCCGACAGGGACCTGAGACCCACTGGGCTGGATGGGGGCCTCTGAATGGCCGGCCAGTTCAGCTCCACTCAGCCAGAGGACGGGACCTGGCGAGCTGGTGGCCAGTAGCAACTGGAGTCCCTGGGACCGGGAAGATGGTGAGGAGGGAGTCTAGAACAGTCTGAGTGCTGCACAGGTTCTCAACGTCCAAGTTATTCATTAATTAAGCACAACGCCCAGAGGGCCCTGACCAAGACTTAAGGGGCCAGGGGGGCACCTGCTGTCTCTGTGCAAACCTGCCTGGGGGCTCGGCCTTGGAGGCCCCAAATGGACAGGTGCTCAGCATTCAACCAACCATCACCAGTGGGGCCCCAAGTTCAGAGCGAGCCCCCTGCCCGGCGGAAGATGATCACTTGACCAGACTCAGCCCTCAGGGCGCAGGCACAGGCAGCCGTCAGCGCCCAGCTAGGCAGGCTGGGTCTCGCTACCTCACCTGTAAACCAGAGGAACGTATTTCCCTTCGCCGTGCGGTCAGCTCCGTCTTTGATCTGGCCCACCAGGCCGTCCATCTCCCGGAGGCCCGCAGCGTACGGCGCGCGGCCCTGTGGGTCTGCCGACAGCCGGGTCCTGGTTAGGGGCACGTGCATGTGGGCCAGGCCCACGTAGAGCAGGAAAGGTCTCCCGCTGGCGCTGGAACAGAGAGCCAAGCGGTCACCCTCCAGAGATCTTGTCCTCTGTCTCTCCTGACCCTCAGAGCAAAGCCCCAGAACACCTCCTCCCCACGTGCTCAGGGAGTGCATGTCCGACTAGAACAGTGATGCTCAACCTTCCTAATGCTGCGACCCTTTAATACAGCTCCCCATGTTGTGGTGACCCCCAATTTCATTGTTACAAATTGAACATAATTAAAGCACAGTGATTAATCACAAAAACAATATGTAATTATATATGTGTGTTCCGACGGTCTTAGGCGACCCCTGTGAAAGGGTCGTTCAACCCCCAAAGGGGTCGCAACCCACAGGTTGAGAACCGCTGGTCTAGAACCTTCCTAGGATATGTGGAGATCATCTGATCAGCCAGTTAAAACCTGAGAGCAGCCCTGGCCGGTCTGGCTCACTGGTTAGAGCGTCAGCCCTCAGACCAAAGGGTCTGGGTTCGATTCCCAGTCAAGGGCATGTACCTGGGTTGCAGGCCCAATCTCCAGCAAGGAGCGTGCAGGAGACAGCCGATCAATGATTCTCTGTCATCATTGATGTTTCCATCTCTCACGGATCATTGTGCAGGCTGTTCCCTGCTTGGGCACGTCCTGCTGAGAGAGTGAACGGGAGCTTAACTCCCGCCCACCATCCCCTGGCCCAGCAGGCCCTGGGGCCCAGGTCAGCACCCACCCGAGGGGGCGCCTTTTCCTAATTTGCAGGGAGATGCCGCACTGCAGTGGCCTGCCAGATACAGCTGGCTGGAATGTCAGGAATCCTGCAAGCCAGTTTTAAACATGACAGACATTTAACAGGAAGTCCAACCAGCTTACAATGAGATTATATTAGAAACAAAGGTAATACGTGCTCATGATGTGTCACGTCTTAATCATTCTACCGCATTTTACTGTTGCCTGTGCTCTGAGGCTTACGTCCACTGCATCTGTGTGATGGCAATACCACAGAACAGGGTGCTGCTCTCCTCCCTTCCCAACTCCACACTCAGGGACATGGCGCTGGGAGCTGAACCCAGCCCGGAAGACGGTGTTTATAAAGAGAGACGGGGGCATGTGCTACAAATGAGGCCTTTTTCCTCTGAGTGCCAGGTATTACACATGTAGCAGCTCATCGCTACATATGGGCTGGGGGGGAAGGGGGTCCCCATCGCCCACTCTTTGTCTCCGCCCTCATCACTATCCTCCACACGTCCAGCCGTCATCAACGTCCTATAAGCACCCCCGGACAGAGGCTGAAAGGGGAGTGCAGTGATGACAGACGTTACACGTGTGGATGGATGAAAAGCCAGGCCTTGGAGGCCCGCATCCAGATTTCAAGAACTTTTAGTTCATGGCTGTCTGGCCCTGGGCGACTGACTTAACCTCCACGGTCGCCTTTTTATTAATAACTATAAATAATACAAGCTGACACGCGGCACCCAGGATGCACCTCGTCCCCTGGATCTTGATGCCACTTGAGAATCCATGAAGATGGCGTCTTGCAAAAACCACACAAATTGGCTCCCTGGGGCCTCGAGCCCCGAGGGCACCCCTTCGTGAGGCTCCTGTGCAGAGCAGAAAATAACGGAGCGTGGCTGGTGCTCGGGGAAAAGCCGATCGTAAGACAGTAGGATTCAGTTTTTGTTTGTCCATAAGCACCGGCACAGAATGAGGCCAGGAGGACACGCCCCGCCTCTCTCCAGGGTTATCTCTGGGACGGGGCATTCAGGGTGATTTTTCTGTTTGCTCACCTCTGTTTTCAGAAGCTCCTAAAGGGAACCTATTATTTGTGTGGCCAAAGGAGTGGAGCGGCAAGCAGGGAGGAGAAAAACAAGATGCTAGAGGGGACATTTCAGGGGAGAGGGGCCGGGATGGGCGTGGAGATGCACTGAAGATGAGGCCCGGGAGAAAATCCTGACCTGAAATTATAAACGGCAGGCGAGGGGCACCCACCTCTCAGGAAAGGTCCCGGCAGGCAGCTGGCGGGGGAGAGCCAGGCAAGGAGGTGAGGCGGGGCTTCCCAGCTGGCAGGACGGCACTGGCTTTGGGGGATGGCCCCATGGGGTTGAGCGGACAGGGGTCCCTCCGGAATGGGCTGCTGCAATAGCCCCCCCACATTTCCCCATCCCCCTCTGGGCCTCTGTGTTACAGATAAGCTTCGGGAACCTGGACTGGATCTGTCGGTTCCGTTTGGAAACCCACTGGGCTCCTGCAGCCTGCTGGGAGTCCAAGCAGGATGGAGGGTGTTAGGTGGGGGCTGGGTGAGGGCAAGACGAGGAGGGGCAGCCCCAGAGGGGGAGACAGACCAGTAAGAAGAGCCCCTCAGGGGGCGGGCAGGGCAAGTGGAAGAGGGACTCAAGATCTTGATGCGGGTCCTGGGCTCCAGGGCGTGGGCACCTCTAGGACCTACTGCCCAATGGTGAACACCCCGGAATCTGACCTCCCCTCTGACTCCAAATACCCCTCGCTACTCCTCATACCTGTGCCCCCACCCTGATCCTTGTCAGGCCCTCGCGTCCTCATGAGCTTCCGTGCCCCGTCCCAGGCCTTGCAGGAGCAGAGGCCTGGCCAGCAGGGACGCGGGAGCCCACACCATCTGCTTTCCCCGTTGTGGTCCATTCAGAGCTTCGCCTGCTGCTTTCAAAAACCCAAGTCAAGGATTAGCTTTCAGCATCGCTGCTAGAGGAAGGGTCTATATTCAAGTAAGGATCCAAGTCAAACATTCGAAGACGTCCTTGGGCTGCCCCTTGCCGAGGAGGGCAGGACCCCACACTCTGGGGACCCTGGTAGTTCTGACAAACAAGTCCCGATGGGGGCAGGGGTCACAGTGGGAGGAGAGGGGCGGGGTGGGCAGGAGGAGCAAGGAGCACAGACCTGGGGGCCTTTTCTGCTGATTCTGAAAATCACAGAGGAATTGGAAAGTCACATCCTAAAGAAATCCGCATGCCTGAAGGTTACTTTCTGTCTGTTAAAAGCCAATGGGATTCGTGTGACTTTTCACTCAATAACCGGTGAGTAAGTGAGCAAACGCTTCACCTTTTTCATGAGGTAAGTACAGTGTTCATTGATCGGTTTGTCCTTTAACTGATTCATGAACTGGTGAATGGACAGTATCGCACTCTTGCCTGGCGGGCATGGCTCAGTGGTTGAGCATCGACCTATGAACCAGGAGGTCACAGTTTGATTCCCGGTCAGGGCACATGCCCGGATTGTGGGCTCGATCCCCAGTGTGGGGCGTGCAGGAGGCAGCCGATCAATGATTCTCTCTCATCATTGATGTTTCTATCTCTCTCCCCCTCTCCCTTCCTCTCTGAAATCAATAAAAATATATTTAAAAAAAACAAAAACAACCAGTATCACATGTTCTTCAAAGCAAGCAGTAAACCGTTCCTAGACCCAGCCGGCGGCCAGCCCTGCCTGAGAAAGCTGTGATGCTGGCAGTGGAGCCTCTGCCCTCAGCGGGAACAGGGGAGCCCAGGAGCTCGGGGAGCAACCTGAGGAATGTCCACCCCAGGCCTGGACAGTCCAAAGAGGACTGCTTTCCAGTTTGTTTCCGGGAGCCGGGTGTGCATCCCCCTTGGCCGGACAGGGGAGCTCGCCGTGGCTTTGTAGAGCTGAGGGAGGCCAGGGGGCATGGTGGCCGGGAGCCGGGGGTCGGGGGTCGGGGGTCGGAGGCACTCAGGGCCAGAGGACTCCTCACCTGGCACGCTGGATGAACTGGGTGGCTTTCTCGGCGTACCTGTGCGCGAGGCTGCTCAGGTTCACGGGCTGCTCCACAATGCGCAGGTTCTCATACAGAGGAAGGGCCACGTCCGTGTAGCAGTCCCTGTCGGGGCTCCTGGGTGCAAACCGCAGAAGGAGAGCATTCAGTCCCACGACCTAAGTGGCCCTCAGGTGGAGCCAGGTGCTTTCACGCAGCGACACACCCAACCACGAAACCCTTAATGGCCTGGCGCCGGGAGGCCTTTCCAGCCGGCCATCTCCTCCGAGTGTAAAACCAACCCCACGCCTTCTTGCATTCCCTTTGAAGAGAAAGACTTGCGCGCTAGAAACTTGATGAGTCCCATGTTGCTGGGAGAGAAACTGAGGTCTAAACAGACTGCATTACTCAAGCGGAGCCCCACAGCCCATCAGTAGCCCAGCCCTGGCTTCTCCCACTGTCCCCCCTAAATGATGACTTGTCCGTGGGGTGCAACAACTTCATGAGGCACAACATCTGACAACAGAACAACAGATGGCTGGGGACAATGGTAAAATTTCAAACCATGTTTAGAGAGAATTTCGAGACACTTTAGCCATTGGGAAAAAATGGAGGTCAAGCCAATAGCCCCTCCAGGAAAAAACAAATGCACCCTCGGTCTTACGGATCAAACGCCCCGCAGTGGGGCTGAGGGAAGACTGGGCCAGGCGCTTGGGCAGGTATCGCCCTTCTGAGCACCACAATGCTCATCTCAACATCTGTCTCAAGTTTTTCAGCTTTTTATGATCTCGTTGCAACTCCATCATTTATACTCTCCCTCCCCCAAGCCAGTCCTTTTTTCTATTTGATTTGTTAATTTTTAATTATTATTTTTATTGAATTTATATTGGTTAATAAAGTGATATAGGTTCCAGGTGTACAACTGCATAATACATTATCTGTCTATGGTATTGTGTGTTCATCACCCCAAGTCAAGTCTCCTTCCATCACCATTTATCTGCCCTTTACCCTCATCTACCTCCCCCGCCCCATTTGATTTAACATGGATTTAAAAGGAACAGGCTGACAGGTGTTATGTGGCCACCGGTGATCCCCAGATAAGAAGGGCGGGGACATGCTCTATGGCCTCACTTCTCACACTGCAGTGTGCACACGGATCACCTGGCATCTTGCGAAACGCAGGCCTCGGGGTGGGGTCTGAACTTCTGCGTTTCTAATAGGTGCCCAGGTGATGCCCGTGCTGTTGGTCCAGAGACCACCCTTTGAGGAGCAAGGATCTAGAGGACATGGACTGGACTGACTGAGTCTCCATCCCCACCTCCTAGAGCTCCAGGGTGACGTGGGCACAGGTGCAGCCCAGCAAACCTGGGCCTCGAACAGTGGATTGCAGGTAAGTACAGATTGTCACAGCTTCTCAATAAGCGGCCATTATTATACGAACTATTGTGCTGTTAATGAGCCAGCAAGACGGCTTTCCCCAAGCAGCTGAAATGCCTGCGACCTTATAACCTCTGTGCACAGTCTGAACAAGCGGCGCACGTGGTGTGTGTTGCTTTATTACCGGCATAACCTGTATCAGCTCGTTCTTTTTGTTAATCCTCACCCCAGGATATTTTCCCATTGATTTTCAGAGAGAGTGGAAGGGAGGGGGAGAGGCAGAGAGAGAGAGAGAGAGAAACATCAATGCGAGAGACACACATCAACTGGTTGCTTCCCGCACGCGCCCAGACCAGGGCTGGAGATCAAGCCTGCAACCGAGATACGTGCCCTTGACCAGAATCGAACCCAGGGCCCTTCAGTCCGCGGGTCGATGCCCTATCCACTGAGCCAAACCGGCTAGGGCTTTGTCACCTTTTTCTGACCGTTAATGTATTGCAGGCTTATTACTGAATTTTGGGAAACGCAAGGAGGAAGAAAAAAACAACAAAACCCTTAGTCCCACAACCAGAGTGAATGGCCCATGGTTGGCATGTTTCCTGTGGTGTCTCCCGATGGGCTATAAAGGCATAAACACGGAGGCAGTTATGGTCCCACTGTTGGTGATTGCTTCCTGCTTTCTTCACTTACATGGTGAGCATTTCCCCAGTTCACTGACTATGTCTGTAAATTAGGGCCCCAATATCAGATGCAGGCTTATCTGCAGGGGCGGGGAGTGGGGTGAGCTTGTAAGGAGCCCTGTGTGCTTCCTCCCTGGGCCAGGTGCGTGGCCCAGGAGCAAAGCCAGCAGGCAGAGAAGGAGGGAACCCTGCCTGTGAGACCGTGGCGGTGCCGGGCTCTGCCCAGCAGAGCTAAACAGTCCAAGGAACCCGGCAAATTCCCATAAGGAAGTTCTGTGAAATTCTGTTGGCCTCACCTTTGCTAAAAGTTTTCTTGCTCTTTTTCGCTGTCTTTTTGTTTTCTTTTGTTGTTAATCCTCACCTAAGTGTATTTTCCCCCTTGCTTTTCAGAGTGGAAGGAAGGGAAGGAGGGGCAGAGAGAGAAACATTGATGTGAGAGAGACACATCAACTGGTTGCCTCCCACAGGCACCCCGACCGGGGACAGGGAGCGAACCCACAACCCAGGTGCGTGCCCTTGAATGCAACCCTTTCGTTCAGGAACCGATGCTCTAACCACTGACCACATTGGCCAGGGCACTGTTTTGCTGTCTTAACTGTCCCCTGTCAGCCCCTCTGACTTGCTCCTGACGGACCACACCGCCAGGATTTGTGGCTCTGGATCCCACAGCCAGTTACCTTGATGGTCCCTCGTCCCGGGGGCATGCCGGGCAAGGAGGGAGGTTGTAGCCGGGGCTATCTGTGCAGCCCATATCGTGGCTGTATGGGATTCCGAAGTAGTAATCAAACCCTGGAAGAGAAGCAACTGGTTAGCACCCCCACTCAGCTTCAGTTCCAGGAGCCTACGTCCTTACACCCAGGACAAAAATGTAATCTTCCCTGATTTAATACCGCAGTGCTATGGAGGATGTAATTAAAAGAGGATTTGATGAATATCCCTTTGTAGTCTGCAAAGAAAACACTGCTGGGTTCTGGCTGGAAGGCCAGATCTGGGACACAGCCTGTGATTAGTTAACCCGGAGTGGGAGGAAGTGGAGAGAATGATTAAGCCCGGACCATCCCCCATGCAGTTACTGGCACATTGGGGAAGTATTGGCTGAAACTCTACTACATGCGTGATGCCGTAAGGGACAGAAGAATAAATTCTGCCCTCAAAATACTTCCCATCTGAAGAGAATGTAAGATACAGAGATTAAGCTGTAGGAGATGGAGAATCCATAAGACAATAAGGGCGATTAGGTCAGGGGTAGGGACCCCTTTTTCTGCCAAGGGCCATTTGGATATTTATGACATCATTTGAGGACCATACAAAATTATCAACTAAAAAAATCAGCCTGCTGTATTTGGTCAGACACATATATTTGTGGTTAATCCTCACCTAAGGACATTTTTTTCCCTTGATTTTCAAAGAGAGTGGAAGGGAGGGAAGGAGGAGCCGAGAGAGAGAAACATGGATGTGAAAGAGAACATGAACTCACTCCTGATGCCTTGTCAGGGCCAGACCAATGCCTTTGCAGGCCTAACATGGCACACGGGCCACACGTTCCCCACCCCTGGGTTAGAGGAAGACGTTACCCCCAGATGCTGGGCATGGGTGGGTGGGGGGAGAAATCTTCTAGGAAGGGGGGGCATTTCAGCTAGACCTCAGAAGGCTGGCGGGCCTGGGGTACTGGGATGGGGTCGGTGGGGGGCGGAGGGGGGGAGGATGTGAGTTAAATTGAGGCATTAATATCTGTGTGGACCTTTTCTCTGAGATCCTTCCTCATCCTGTCTCTTCTCCAACCCCAGTTTAGTGTGAAGTTTCCCACGGGATTTCTCTACTTCTCCCCCAAGTCCCAATGGGCCAATCCCTGCTTTGGTGACCCTATTGGACAATTTTTACTTCTTACCACACTAGATGGGTCTGGACCTCATGTCAGCCATGTCCCCTGAGACGCGAGGAACCAGGTCAGGGAGAAGAGTGGGGCTCGCGATGGGGAGCCAGGGGGCAGAGAGGAACCAAGGAGAGGGGACAGGGAAGAGGATGTGAGATCGAGGGGAGCCCAGGTACCCCAAATACACCCAAGGGATACTGTGAACGAAGATATCCTAACTCAGGAGCAGGATAGCTTAAAGGTTATTCCAGTCCTTTTACACAGAGGTCCTTATTTCCTGTTTCCCAGGTAACAAAGCCCCCAAAGAATTTTTACCACTGAAGTTGGAGTGATAAGAGCTGTGATGCCCAAGATTCCATTTGCCTTCAGGAAAACGAGAAAGAGACTTTCAGAGGCATCTTGTGGGGGTTCCAGCCCGTCGGGGAGCTGATCACACTCTCAGTTCTCCATCAGCGTTGCCAATTACTGGGTTCCAGCTGGGAGGCCAGATTTGTGGCCTGCAAAGTGATGAGGCTACAAACACAGTGCCAAAGCCAGGCCCTGCTCTGTGGGACCCAGAGGGAATCCGCAGGGAGACAGAAAGTGAGCAAGGGTAACTCAGCACCTCCACAGGAGAACGCACAGTGAAAGGGGAAGACAAGCCGCTCCTGGGATCCCAGCAAAGCCAGCAGGCCGAGGTTCTAGTGCCCACAGGAACCCCCCATAGCCAGCTGCACCCGCCACCCTGCCCTCCTGGGCTGGGGCCCTGCCAAGGGTACAGGTGCATGCCCCACAGTCTCAGAGACGCCTGGGTCTTGCCTGGTTGCATCATCTTTTCTGGCCAACGCCACTTCCTGTAGGCAGTGGTTCTCAACCTTCTGGCCCTTTAAATACAGTTTCTCATGTGACCCAACCATAAAATTATTTTCATTTCTACTTCATAACTGTAATGTTGCTACTGTTATAAATCGTCATGTAAATACCTGATATGCAGGATGGTCTTAGGCGACCCCTGTGAAAGGGTCGTTCCACCGCCAAAGGGGTCACAACCCACAGGTTGAGAACCGCTGCTGTAGAGCATGAGCAGGAAACGGCCTCCCCACTGCGGTTCAAGTGCACAGACACCTACCCAGCTGCCAAAGACGAAACTCCTCGCTTTGTTGATGCCTAAGGGAGGAGGGGGGACTGGTGATGTAAGCCAAGTGCTCGGATAATGCTGGACCTCTCTGACCTGCTCATTCTGCTCTGAGTAAAGAGCCCAGGGAAATCACTCACAGGCAAAGGGGCCCGGAAATGAACGTGGTTCAAAGATCTGAACAGTGGACCCTCACTGCGGCCCATTTGCCAGCACCCATCCCTCCTACTTCATGTCCGGAGGCAGGAGGCAGGATTCCCACAGAACCCAGCTCTTGGAGAGTTAGAATAAGAAGCACCAGCAGCCTGAGGAGGATGTGGACAGCTGGGTTGCCTCGGCCCCGAGAGGAGAGACTAGCAGTGAAGCAAAGCACGAGAACAAGTTGGACCAGACACATCTGTCTCATCTCCCCGCTCCGGGTCAGGCAGCGCTGAACAAGTCTCCACACCTGCCTGAAACTCAGTTTCCTCCCTGGACAGTGGGGCAAACCATACCCAGGGCACTACCATACCTGGAGCAAATAAACACTTAGCCCAGTGCCTGGCAGAAAGTAAAGACTAAATAAGAGGTGCTTAGTTAGAAAGGAAAGCAAGCTGGTGGTCAGTGTGGCAGATGCTGCTGTTTGCCAGCCCTATACCCATGTCTCCACTCATACCGGTCACAGAACTGTGGTTTTGGGAACCTGGGGTTGGGAACCTGTGCCTGAGGCCAAGTCACCCATTATAATCCTACCCCCCTCCCCATTTCCCAGACTTCCTTGCAACGAAGAGTGGCCTTGTGACCCAGCTCCAGCCAATAAGGTGCAAGTGAACTTCTGGGGCTGAGGAAAGATTGTGTTCCTGATAAAAGGGAACAAGTGGGCTAGCACTGCCTCCCCTCCCTTTTTCCTTCCTTGAAGCCAAATGATGGCGAATGTTCTGAGGTTGCTCTACGGCAACCAAGAGGCAACATGCAGGAGGACAAACGCCAACAGAGTAAGGACAGCAGAGCAGAAATGGTTTCTCTGAGTGGCTGAGCCAATAGAAGCAATCACTTACCCCTGTGCTCATTAGAATGAGAGGAAAATAGCTCAGATTCCCTTTAGCCCACTGTTAGGTCTTCACAATTACTTACAGCTGAAAGCATTCCTAGCTTATAGAGTAGGAAATCAACAAAAAAGCAGACAGGAACAGAGGAGGTGGGGGCGTGTCAGGGCTACACGGAGGCGAAGCAGCCAGCCCCGTGCAGTGGAACCTCGGTTCTCAGATCTTGGGAAGGCTGCTCGAAAACCGAATCACATTTTCCCCATTAGAAAGAATGTAACGGAATTAACCCGCTCCAGACCCCCCAATGAGCCTCTGCTTTAATCTTTCTCATATACAGTACATGCCTAATGTTTAATCTATAAATAAGCACTTTGAAAACAAAAAGGACATGAAAGGTACATGAAAATAAATGAAAAGTCAACAAAACGGAAATGAAATGTATAGTAAAAAATGAAAATGTAAAGTAATAAGCAGCAACGAAAGCAAAAACACACACAAATATTCACAGCACAGTTTCCTGAAGTGTTAACAACATGAGGGTCAGTGGTAAGCTGACGCATACTCCTGCATTCTCTCACTGGAGAGACACGTGACTGATCATAAGGTATCAGCGGGGGTTGTTGAAAGGGTTGTTGGGTTGAGAAGCGAATTGTTCGAGATGGGAGACATTCGAGAACCCAGGTTTGACTGTAAATGCAGCGGGAGGTGGGGGCTGGGCTGTGGGGCACCCATGTTACCTATCATCCCGGTGACGTAGCCGGCCTGCTGCAGCACCTCGGCCAAGGTGGTCTCGTTGAGCGGAAGGCCCCCCACAGAGGTGACTGCAAAGTTGTGTGTGACTCCGTTGCGCAGGCCCAGCCGGCCGGTGAGCAGGGCGGCCCGGGAGGGTGAACAGGTGGAAGCAGCTGCGTGGAAATCCACAAACCTGCACAGAAAGGAAAGTGATCGAGATCTCTCCAACCACAGAAAGCCAGGCCAAGAGAAAAGTCAACTCCCACTCTGTTCTGGGGATTCCAGTGCTGGGAAAAAGCTCGCCCAGTAGAACAAGTAAAGAAAAGGAAGCCCAGAGAGGTAAGGTGACTAACCCAAGGTCACACAGGTCATTCCAATAGATACAATCCAACACATTTAGTGGATCCTCTTTATCCAAAGACTAGAGGCCCGGTGCATGAATTTGTGCACAGGTGGGGTCCGGATGCCTGCCCCTGATCAGAGTGGGGGCAGTGATTAGGGGTGGGGCTGTCTGTGGGGAGGGGCCGCAGGCAGTTGGCTGGCTGGCTCTGCCCCTGATTGGGTTGGGGGGGGGGGCGATCGGGGGCGGGGCCGGCTGGGGATAGTTATTAGTGTCAAAAATCTTTGCAGGGTGTATACACGTTTGCTGTTGGCTTTCGGATGAGTTGAAGCTTCAAAGGCGCTTTAGTGACAGGGACACTTATAGCTTCTGTTTCTATGCCTCTCCCTACACAGGTAATGCAGTTTAGTTCCCTGCTGACAAACCCTCTAAAGCAGCGGTTCTCAACCTGTGGGTCGCGACCCCTTTGGCGGTTGAACGACCCTTTCACAGGGGTCGCCTAAGACCATCCTGCATATCAGGTATTTACATTACGATTTATAACAGTAGCAACATTACAGTTATGAAGTAGCAACAAAAATAACTTTATGGTTGGGTCACAACATGAGGAACTGTATTTAAAGGGTCAGAAGGTTGAGAACCACTGCTCTAAAGAGAGGCCGTGGTGTGATGTGGCTGCCCTCTTTGGTAGGAAGCAGTGGAGAGAGAACGCAGGAAGACGGTGGTTGTGCTGGGCACCTCTCCAGGACACCTGACTGACGGTCCAGACCATGAACAGGTTCCTGGCCTATGAAGGCTGGAGAGCATTTACGTACTTAGAATCACTGAAGGTCACACTTCAGTGATCGGGGTGCGGGGGACCGATCAGGGGCGGGGCTGGCAGGGGAAGGGGCCACGGGCGGTTGGCCGCCACAGTGAGCGTCATAGCCATCGGCCGTTCTGGTTGTTCCGCCGTTAGGTCGCCTGGCTTTTATATCTATATACATAGATTCCATATTTCTTAAATGTATTTGTACCCCCAAAATCAATACTCCATGGCTCTCACTCGGTTATACAGAGTCACATGCAGACCTTTGGAAAATCTCAGCCACCCAACGTGCACAGGCCCAGCTGAAGTCGGCTCTCATCCTGTAAGCAAGTGTCCTCCTTTTCAGAGTCTGGTTGGTACCCTGGTTTTTGCATTTTTGTTCTTCTTGTTGCTGATTTCGCTGTTTGAAATGGCCCTCGAGCAGACCGCTGAAGTGCTGGCCAGTGGTCCTAAGCTCATGAAGGCTGTGATATGCCTTACGGGAAAATATACATGTTCTATAAGCTTCATTCAGGAATGAGTTCTAGTGCTGTGGGCTGTGAGTTCAATGCTAATGAATCAAAAATATATATTTTAAAAAGCTGCCTTTAAACAGAAACACACACAAAACAAGATTCTGTACTGATTAGTTGATAAAAAGGCGGCCAGAGGCACATAGGAACCTAGCCCTGTATTTTCCCCAGAAGCAATGGCTCAGGTTTCTTCATAATTCAATAATTATCCAATAATTCAGTGTTCACAGAGACCTTATAGAACATAACTACCACCAATAACAAGAGCTAACTGTACCCACTATACACTATCACATGCCCAGCCCTCCGTCAGACACCATGAAGAAACATGTACAGTCTAGCCATTTTCCTGTCCTCAAGGAACATGACTAAACTTAATGTTTGTCTATTATTAGGTAAGATAGTCATTGCAGAGATAATTAGTTAAGTTGAGGTAACAGTGGAGTAGGGTGAGTATAAGTTTCCTCTCTTTACCGCAACCAGCATGGCTAGAGAGCGGAAGAATCCCTGAGTAGGGGCTGCTGCGGATTGAGAAAAGGAAAAAAAAAGAGACAGACACAGAGACAGTAGGGAAAGCTGGGACCGGGTGGACCCTCCTCTGAGCTGCCCTCTGATGGAGAGACAGTGACCCAGAGCTGGTGCAGCGCATTTATTATATACAGCATGATTCCAGGAAGTTTTACTAGAGTTTAAGACAAAGGAAATTATGTGAAATCACGGTTAAAGATCAAGCTGTAATTCTTCATTCTTGTGGCTTCTTTGTAATTGTCACTCCTGGCTGAAGCCCAGATAATTACGTCCGTTCCTTGCGCCTGGCTGAACTTAGATAATGAAACCCATCCCCTGGCACCTGAGCTAAGGGTCAGGCTGACAACATACCTGCCTCTGGCACAGTATGTTTCCAGGACCTGGCTCTGCTGACACCACTGGACTCAGTCGACAATTAGCTCATGTGCCTTCCCAGGCGCTCTCTACAGGTGAGTCCTTAACCCAGTATAACTGCCGTGTTTAAAAGGAGAGAGAGACACTGAGGAGAATGCCACATGCAAACAGAGACACACAGAGGGAAGGGGGCCCTGTGAGGACAGAGGCCAGGACTGGAGTTATACTGCCTCAGGCTAAGGAATGCCTGGTGCTACCAGAAGCTGGAAGAGGCAGGAAGGAACCTCCGCTGGAGTTTCTGAGGGAGTAACGGCCAACACCTTGATTTTTAACTTCTAGCTTCCAGAACTGTGAGAATAAATTTCTGTTGTTTGAAGCCACTCCTTTTGTGATCCTTTGTTATAGCAGCTGCAGGAAACTAAGACATCACCTACATAGGCCCAATGTTCATCTCAACAGGACCCTGAATCCTGGAGCATCTCACATCCCACTCACAACTCTCTAGCTCAACACCTTGGCTCTGCCGTACCTCAGCCCAGGGTGCTTTACCCCTCACCTCCCTCCCCAATGCCTACCTATCCTCTGAAGACTGTCGCACAGTCTTTCCTTGTCCCCCAGGAGGATGGGCCTTGACCTTGACTTCTGCAGCATCTTCATGTCTGAATGGAAACATTCATCTGACATCAAAGCCCTTATGAGAGCCACCCCTTCCTGTGGTGCCTGCACCACTTCTCCACCTGCCCATCCTCAGGACTCCCGTGGGGCTGTGGATGCCTGTTCCCTGTCCCCACGCTCACTGGCCTTAGGCTGAGGAGGTCCCAAGACCCACCCTCGGTGGTGTCAGCTCCAAAGCCTGACTGACTTCCACACAACCACGGGAGCCGGAGAGAGAGAGACCAGAACGCCCATTTCCCAGCTGACCTCCGGGGATGGGCACAGGAACCAGCGCGTCAGTGGCCCATGTTTTCTTCCTGCTCACAAACTGCACAAGAAGCCAGACTCCGAAGTTTGCCTTGGTGGGTGTGGAGTTAACTAACTGAGGGCATCAAATGGATCAAAGAAAAGTCATGCAGTTGCTAAGCTTAAGGGACTTCTGTCCACAGTGGACTGAACTTTGCCAGTGGGTCTGGGATGCTCAGAGGCTGTTCACCACCACGTCTTCACCCCTAGTGTTACAGGATGAATGTTTGTGTCCCCCAAAATATGTCTGTTAAATCCCTAAAAATGTGATGGTTTTTGGAGGTCGGGCCTTTGGGAAATGATCAGGTTTAGAGGAGGTCATAAGGGTGGGGCCCCCAGGATGGGATTAGTGCCCTGATAAGAGGAGGAGACTAGAGCGCTCTCTCTATCTCCACGTGAGGACACAATGAGGGGTCGGCCATCTGCCATCCAGGAAGGAGGCCGTCAGCACAACCTGGCCACGCTGGCAACCTGACCTTGGATTTCCCAGCCTCCGACACTGTAGAGCAAGCATGTCAAACTCAAAGGCTAACACAGGCCAAATAAACAAGGCATGCCTGCTGTAGAGAATAAATGCATATTGTTTAAGCTCCCCGCTTTGTCATATTTGTTGTAGCAGCCCAAGCGAATACACCTGGGCAGTGCCAGAAACACACGGCGATCCTGACCCTGACCCCGCTCGCCCGTTTCCCGTGACTCTCCTGAGAGCAGTCTCTCCTTGGCCATGGTAAAGCCATCACCTTGGAAAGAGCTGCAGCACATTTCTACAGCAAGATGGAGCTCCGAGCTCCTTCCCAGTCTGTGGGTTTTGTGAGGATGGGACCTAGAGTTGCAACTCCAGCCCCAAGCAGAGCGCCCTGCTGGGATGGAGGGGCTCTGTCCAAATCCGGTGGACGAACAAACAAAACTGGAAGAGGAAGAGGCCCGTGTCGTTTGATTGGAAAAAACGCGTTAGTCCACTTTCCACATAATCGCTTAAGCGGATGTCTTCAGGGCTCAGTTCCGGCCCCACCGTGTGATCAAGCTCACAGCTTAACTCTCAGAAGCAATCTTACTTCCTTTATTTCCAAGTCTTTGGAGAGCCCTGACTGCACCCCTTGCACATAAAACCCTAACCACATCCCACGCAGCCCTCTGAGCTGACCTGCCTGTCACCTTCCCCCCTCCCATCTCTGCCTCCGTTTGGCAGGGACTAATTAATAAGGAATAAAATGCTCTTGCCTTTTGGAAAGCCTCTTTTGTTTTCCCCCAGATCTATCTGGGCAGGCCCAGGCCAGTTCGCCAACAGGGGTCCTAATTAAAGTCTGAAAATGCATTGTAAAGCAAAGCTGGAATCACAGAGCCAGACATTACAGCAGCCTGTTAACGGGAAAATCAGCTCAAATTAAGACACAGCCAGACGGAAACCAAAGCCGCTTGCCACTGCATAAATTACGTGCATTAGAATCAGGGGAGGTGAGCGCTGGAAACGCCACCGCCAGAGCCCTGGAGAGACATAACGTTGCAAAGTTAAGCGTGTCCGGCCTTCGTTTACAAGGAATTTAAAATAGATGATGACACCTTCTGTGGCAACTTTCGAAATTGCTATGTGACTGGAATAAACACTGCCTTTGCTCCATTCATCATTTAAAGGCTTGGAGGTGGGAAAAGGTTTGAAAAAATAATGTGCTGCGGCCTCTGTGGGTAGAGGG